GCTGCCGGCGGCGGCGGGGCGCATGGCGTTCACGCTGGGGTGCAAGGGGCCAGCGCTGGTGGTGGACGCGGCGTGCTCGTCGTCGCTGGTGGCGCTGGGCAGCGCGCGCAGCGGGACACTGGGCGGCCGGCGTGGCAGTGCGCTGGTGGCGGGCTTGAACGCAATGCTGGTGGCGCAGACAACGGGGGATGTTTGCGCGGGCCGGGATCATCGCCCCCGACGGCCGGTGCAAGACGCTGGACGCGAGCGCGGACGGATAGGCGTGCGGAGGCGTGCGCGGTGGGCGTGGACTTCCGCGACGTGCCGGGCATGTACCCGCGGGGCCCGGTCGGGCGCCCGGGGGCGACATGGCCGGTGTGGTGGGGGCTGGTGCGGGGGCGGCGAGGGCGCGGGTGTACGGGCTGGCGGTGGGGTCGCTGGGGACGCCGAGGCGTGCGGACGCGCGGTGCGTGGCGGCGGTGCCTGGGACGGTGACGCTGGAGGAGGCGGCGAGCCGTCCGACGGCTGCTGGTGACGGCGGAGGTGGCGCTGGAGCGGGCGGGGGGCGTGCGGTGCGGGGAGGTGGTGCTGGTGCACGCGGCGGCGGGCGGCAGGCGGCGTGGTCGCGGCGGCGCGCGATGTGCTGGCGGGAACGGGAGCGTTGGTGGTGGGGACGAGCCTGAGGACGGCGGGGAACGTCGCGGGGTTGGCCGCGCGAGGTCGGTCAGGAGATATCGGGAAGCGCGACGCGTGGAGCGGGTGGCGCAGGGGCTGGCGGACGTGCGGGACGTGGTGGCGGTGGACCGCTTTCCTGCCAACGGCAGTGGCGGTGCGGGAGCGGCGAGAGTCGCGGGCGCCTGGGGCTGGGGAAGAGGTGGCGCTGCTGGGGCGCACGGGGCGTGCGGGCGGCGCTTGGGCGGGCGGTGGGGTCTGGGAGCGAGCGTGCAGAGGTACGCGATGGTGATGAGCGAGGCGGCGTGAGCGTCGGACGCGTGCGAGAAGCACGGGCGCGTGGGGTCGACGGATGCCCACGGCGAACTTCTGCTGGCGATCGGAGTGGCGGGGGCGCCGTGCGCAGAGGAGATGGGTGCCAAGGCGGTGGTGGGTGCGAAGGCGGGCGCGGGTGGTGGCGGATGTCCCGCCGGGCGACGCGCAGCCGGAGGCGTCGCACGGAGGCGTGGCGGCGGGCTGCTGTGCTTGGCGGGTGGGAAGGCCGTTGCCGGCGCTGCAGCCGCGGAAGGGAGAGGGACTGCCGTGGCAGGTGCAGCGGGGCTGCCGCACGTGCGGCGCACACCGCGGCGACGAGGGCCGCCGGACGCGCTGGATGCGATCGTTCTGCGACTTGGGCTGGAGACGCGGTGGGACGAGGAGCCCGGGCGCGCAGCTGGGACGGTGGCCACGGGGTTCGACTGTCCGGGTCGGCGACGCGATCACCGCGGTGCCGCGGACGCCGCGGGATCCGGCGAGGCGAAGAGCGTGGCTGTGGGGACTGCAGCTCGTTTCGGCCGGCTGCGGGAGTGCCGGGTGAGGCTGGGCGTCTGATGTGGCGCTAGCTATAGCACGATGTGTCGACGGCGGAGGCGGCGCTGACGGGCGCGCAGGGCCGGCCGCTGCTGACGGACGACACGGAGGCGGTGCAGGGTGGCACGCGGTCGGCGCCGAGACCGGATGAGCACACGCGGCCTCTCACACGTCATGCCGTTGATGCCTTTGGGGCTGCGTGGCACCTGCCTCGGAGTTGCCACGCGGGGCTGAGATGACGTCAGCTCAGGTCTCTGTGAATTCGCTTCGAGCTCGGAGCCCTCCCGTCGCACCACTCGTCCTGTGTGCTGATCTGATCTTGTGCTGTGTCATCCAGTCCGTTCGCCCCCTGCGCGTCTCGGCCTGCACCTGCAGCCTCCCATAGCGCGCCCCTGCCCCGCCCTCCACCGTCTGCTCGGCGGCCTCCTCGACGAACCGCCCCCCACACACGCCTCCTTCCCTGTTGAACTTGGCAACCACTCCCAAGTCGCCATCCGCTCCCCCGAGCTGTGGAGTCGGTGTCGCTCAGTGCCGGCCACCGACGCCGAAGTGCCGCCCGATCGACACCGCCCGGGCGCCCCATGCAGCGCAGCGGCCCGAGGAGGGCTCTGAGCATGTGGCAACTTTGAGCCGCCGGGATCGCCTGTGGATGCGTCAGATCGGGTTTTTTGACGCGAATCGCGAGGAATAACATCGGAGACCGGTCACACACGCCTCGTGCCCGCGGTCGCGGCGCTGGCGATGCCTGGAAATCGACCCAGTAGAAGTGGCACTGTGAGTGTCCGCAGCCCCCACGCCCCCGTCTGGGCCCGTCCGCGCCCGAAGAGTGGTGCGTCGAGCTGCAACGCACGTGCACTCCGCCACCGCCGCCATGCCGCGCCCACCGCCGCGCGGAGCCTGCGGGGGCGCCGCCCCGGGCCCCCGGCATGTCGCCGAGCTGTGGCGGAGGCGCGGGCAGCATGACGCGGCGAGAAGACCTCCCGTTCCGACGCGGCCTGGACGTCCTGTCGCGCGTAGCGCCGAAGCGCGGTCGTGCAGCCGTCGAAGTCGCCGTGAGGGCGGCGCGGCCTCCCCATGAGAGGGAAGCACATCGGCACCTGCGCGACGCCGTCGAGCTCGTGCTCGCAGGTGAGCGCTTGGCCCCGCCCGCGCGAATGAGGCACGGCGGACGGCGCTGCTCGACCGCCATTGTTGGCGCAGCCGCTCCCGCTCGTGCGGGAGCGCCCTGCGGCCCGGCTCGAAGTGGGTTTCGAAGGGCAAATCTCCCTACCCCAGCGACGTGCGACCTCCCACGCTGCATCTCCTGGCCGCAGACGGTGTGGATCTGCGCAGCAGGGCGGCGCAGCCGCGCAGCAGGCCCCGGATGACCGCCACGCGCGACCGGGGCTGTGCCGCCGCCTCCCCGCGCGCTTCTCGCCCGCCCACGCCGATGCGCTGCCGCTCCGTGGGCGGGAGATGACGGGTTAGGTGTCGAGGCCCGCGTTCTCCCCCGGGCGGGGAGCGGCGTCCCTCGGCGCGCACCCCTCCTGAGCTGGCGCAGTTGGCCGGCAGCGCGTGCGTCGCTTCAGCCGCCGCGGCGTCGAAGGCGCAGCGCGTGCAGCGGCCAGGTGCGCTGCGCCCGCGCATCGGTCGCGCCATAGCAGCCCGCGCTCTGACACACGTTGCCGGGCATGCCCTGCGTGGCGAGGACGCAGAGCCACACCCCGGCGCGACCGCCCTGCTGCCCTGGCACGTGCAGGACGCGGACGGCGCGCGAGCACGGCGACCGGGGAGCGCTCGTGCCCGCCGTGGCCGCGTGAGCGCGGTCTGACGCCCGCGCGGGCTGCAGGCGTCGCGGGGTGCGCGTGGCCCTCCGCGCCCGGCAGAGCTCGCGGCGCTGGCGAGTCGAGATCCGCGCGTCGCGGCGGGGCCGGGCGAGAGTCGCACGCCGTCGTTCGACGGCGCGCGAGGGGCTTGCTGCACGTGGCGCCACCGCCTGCAAGTGGCACACAGGGGGCGGGGTGGAGGACGTCCGGCGGGATCCGCGGGTCGCGCAGCGGTCGGCACGGGGCCTTCAAGCCGGCCCCTCGGTGCGGGAGATTTCTGTCGCGGCGGAAGCACACCCTCAGGCAAGCGCCCCTGGGTCACATCAACGCACACCCAGCGCGCGCCATGTCGCATGCGGTGCCCCCGGAAGCAGATCAGGGGTCGCACCTCGACACAGTCTCGTTTCCGCGAGCACGAGGGTCGTGCTCAGCGTCGCATGCGGCAGGCCGGGACCAAAGCATGGTGGAACAAACGATGGTCCTCCGTGTGCCGTTCATGCAGGGAGCGGGGCCCTGAGCGCCATCCCACGACGCCATCGATGTCCAGCGGCCTCGCCGGCCCGCTCGCTGGCGCTGGGGAGGTCGTACGGGCGCGAAAATGCGTTCGAAGCTCAGCGCGCAAGCTGCGCGGGGCGCGCGGACCGCAACGCGTCCTCCGTCCGCCCGGAGCTCCGCAAAGCGGTCCACCTGGCTCCACACTTCTCGAGCAAGGCGTGAGGTCAGTTGCCAGAGCATATGCGCGGCGCCGCGGATCCCTCGCGGGCCACGGTGTTCGACGCCGCTCTCGCTGCATCGTCGGCGCGCTCGAGCGTTCTGGCCGCGCTGCACGGCGTCTGACGCTGCACGTCGCACGTCGACTGTGCAGTCGCTCGTGTCGCGGCGCTGATGAGCACAGGTCGGCCGCGCCCGCGGTGCTGACGGTCGTGTGTCTGCATCGCTCCGTCACATCATACCCAGCCGCTTCATACACGACGCGCCTGGCTCGATGTACGTCAGCGCCCGCCGCGGCGGCAGCAAACCGGCCGAAGACGCCAGGCTGGGCGGCACGCCAGACATCAGGAGGCCACGGGCCGTCGGCATCGGGAGGAGGCAGCTGCACAAACAAGAGCGGGTGCGTGAATCCTCGTGCCGCGATGCCGCGCTCGCGGCTGGCGGCAGCGACTCCCCATGGCGCACTGCTTTCACCCTGGTGCAGCGCTGGCTCTGCACGCGGGCCCTCGGGCCAGGGCAGCCCCATGTGTGCACCATGCCATGTGCTCGCTGCATGCTGCGGGGGCAGAGCTCGCACAGGGCGCCGTCCCGCCCCGCGCTGTGACGACGTACTCGCACTGCGTCGTCGCGTGCTCAGCACGTATATTTTACGCCGTTGCGCCCACCAGCGGTGCACTGTGATGCACCTTGGAGAGCACGAACCCCAGCAACGGGTCCTCGCAGCGCCTCGAGACGCGCCACGCGGGCTTCCGCTGCGCTTCATACATTGCTGGTTGACGATCGCGCCGCACCGTCGCGCCAGCGCAACGCCCACGCGGCCTGTCTCGACTCGACCTTTGCGATGCAGCAAGCGACAGCCGAGTTCCCGCAACGTGGTCGAGCGGTCCTCTCTGCGCCTCCAGCGGTCCCCTGCGGACGCGTCCGTCTATCGAGGCGGAGCTGGCAGCACGCGGGCTCGCGGAGCGCTGACAACACCCGCACATCATGCAGGTGCAGTCGCCGATCCCGAACCCCGCGCTGCAGGGACGCACGACGCCTCCAAAGGTGAGACACCACCGAGAGCGCTCGTCGAGCCCTCTCGCGCGCGCGCGGCTCGAGTCGTCACGTGCCACTCACTCGACGTCAGGGATGCCGACGTGTCACACGACGTCCTTGCGTCGGACTGACGGCCACGTGTCTCTGCGCATCGTCTGCAGCGGGCGCGCACGGTGGCCAACAGCAACGCGCAGCCGGGCAAGAAGCCGCGCACGGGGGGCGAGAAGCACAGCGGGAGGGAGACACTGGGCACCGTGTCACCGAACCGGTCCGGGCAGCGGATTCCGGACCAGCTGCATGAGTCGCGGCCCAGTCTTGCTGCCTCAGGTGCGTATCTGCTCCTTCATGCGCGATGCGCGTGCAGGTACCCCCATGATCACGCCATAGAAGACGCACGACGCGTCTCGTCTCTATGCTCGTCTGCAGGCGGGACGGGCACGAACACGGCGACGGAGGAGCGCCGGACCGCGTCAGACGACGTTGACGCGTCAACGTCGTACAAGACCGGGCTTCCTCCCGCAGATGCCGCCGTCCTGCGTCGTGAGCTCACGCCTGAAGAGATCGCCGGGGTCAAGGGCATGAAGCAGACGGACGCCGCGGATGAGCTGGGGGTGACGATTGACACGCTGAGGAAGAGATGCGGAACGCTGGGCATCAAGTGGCGGCGCCGCGCGGACGAGCTCACGCCTGAAGAGATCGCCGGGGTCTTCGACATGAAGCAGACGGACGCCGCGGATGAGCTGGGGGTGTCGGTTGCCACGCTGAGGAAGAGATGCGGAACGCTGGGCATCAAGTGGCGGCGCCGCGTGGACGAGCTCACGCCTGAAGAGATCGCCGGGGTCTTCGACATGAAGCAGACGGACGCCGCGGATGAGCTGGGGGTGACGATTGACACGCTGAAGAAGAGATGCGGAACGCTGGGCATCAAGTGGCGTCGCTTCGCGCCCATCTTAAGCTTCAGGGCGTTCCGCCAGGGTCCCACCACCTCGCGCGTGGACGCCATGCTCGACGACATCCTACACGACACGATGATGGTGCAGAACCTCGAGGAGATCGCTGTCGAGCGCACGGGTTCGAACCCGAATCCGCGCTCGCGCGACAGTCGATTCACGGTCACCATGCGCTTCCAGTCGCGCCTCTGGTTGGCCGACGTCAGGAGGTGGCTCCCGGAGGACATGCGGGACTCGCTGGAGGCCGCGCGCGACGACGACGTCGACGACACATTCGCTGCCGTGGCAGACAAACACAGCGGGATTGCCCACACCGAATCGCTACGGCAGCAGAACAGCTCCATCTACATGGGTAGGGCGCAGCTGCTGAGCCACACCGTCGGCGGCCATCGTGTCGAAATTCCGCGAGCTGTACGACGTGTCGCTTCCGGCACCTCCGACGCGCCCATCGTGAACAGCGCGGGCGCGGATTTCTCGTGTCGCTGCGACCAGGTCGCCGCGCAAGCGTGCGCGCCGCCTGTCACGCCGGTGCGTCTGACCCTCGCCTCACCACTTGCGCTGTCCACGCTCGCGACCGTGCCGACGAGCGACCTGCGGCGCGACTGACTGCCGGGCCTGCTCCGGGGTGCGCGCACCGCAGGAGGCTCTTGCAGAGGTGCAGGCGGCGTCAAAGTACGTCGAGGCCACGGGCTGCAAGTCCGCCGACGACGACGACGACGGTCGACGCACCTGGGTCGCGCGACCACGGCCGCGCCAGGCTCGACGCAATGCACTGCGGCCCGGGCCTGCTTCCGTGGCTGGTCAACGCGGCGGGGCCCGGCGCGAAGGTCCTGCGCCCTCTGCAGAAGCAGGGAGGAGATGCCTGCGTCATCCCGAAGGACTACGATCCCGGTGAGCTCGAGCTGCTGCAGACCAAGCCCGGGTTCTACCTCACCATGGTCTGCCTGCGGGACCTGGTGGCAGACGGCGAAGGCCTCAGCACGGAAGAGGTCGAGGCGCTCGAAGGGGAACAATTTACCGCCTACGTGTGGGACTACCTGGGGATCTACCAGGGATCGTTTTTCGCCCGACACGTCAACCACAAACACGAGGGGCTGGACGACGGCCTCTGGCGGCTGGTGGGTCCCACGACGCCGGCATCCACGCGACCCGCGCCCGCCGGCGCTAGGGCTGCCCTCGCGGGGTCCCTGACGCAGTGCCGGCGTCGGTCAGATGCTGCGACTGCAGAGTAACTCCCCCACGCGGGGCCGCTGTTGGAGAGCTGTCTTCCGCACGCGCTGGTGCCGAGTGAATCCGCTGCCGCGCCACTGCCCGTGCAGGTGTTCCCCGTGATCTGCGAATGCCCCGGCGTCGTGGAACGACTGGGCCTGCAGGTCATCAAATTTCCGACGAACTCGCAGCTGAACTGGGGCAAGACCCGACTCAGCCGCGCGGACGTGGAGGCGTTCGTCCCCGTGGGAACCAAGAAGCTGCAGGGGGACGTCATCACGCCGAAGCACGTGAATGACGCCTGCGATGAAATCAAGGCGGCCGCAGCAGCCGCGGGCCAAAGGCTCGTGGACGCCGGCGAGTCCGGGAGGGTCCTGCGTGCGCTGCAGCGGGAGTCTGGACTGCTCGAGAATCGCTACGACCTGCCGAAAGACGAAATCCGGGACCTGGGCGCGAGGTGCGCCTGCCAGAACGTTGACGCTGGCGGAGCCGCCGTGTGGTGCCCCGAGCACCGCTGGGTCTGGTCGCAGTCGCGGCCCAGGAGGCGCGCCGCGCTCGGTGGAAGCGGCCAGTACTGACATGCGCCGCCAACCTGTGCTGGTCTGGTTTCCACCACCCGTGCAGGAGGTATGATAAGTGCGGGGTGATCAAGCTGTGGGTCGGCCTGACCACCCTCGCAGAGTTCTTGGAGGACTCGGAGAACGCGCGTGCCTTGAAGGACCAAGCAGGCCCTGGCCGGGCGCAGCAGCTTAGGAAAATGATGCTGGATCCGCTGCAGGGCCTGGTGTCCGGGTGCGACGAGACGTGGTCGCTCCAGAAAGTTCTGGACGCGCTGCAGTAGGATGCAGGATCTGAGATGGAGGCGGTGTGGAGAAAGCGTGGGGCAGGGCGCTCGTGCAGTGCCGACTGCACCGACACAGCAGTGACGCCCCACGGGGGCGGAAGGACGACGCGAGGTGGGCGGGGGTGGGGCGATGAGGAGAGGGAGCAGCCATGCTCGGCTCACACGCCGGTAGCAGATAGCGGCGCGAGGACGCGACCGGCGCTGTGAGCAACGGGGAGGCAATTGCCGCATTCTGCGTTGCAACGCGGCGTCTTTGCGCAGCCGTCGTCTGACGGCGCGGCGTGGGGGGAGGTCGGGCTCGAGCGAGAACACGCGGCGTAGCCGCGCCGGGCGCGCGCGCTGGGCCGTCGAGGAGCCCGCGCGGGGCCGTCGGTCAGGTGCCGCATGCGGTGCCGCCACCTGCGACGGCAACGTGCGCCGCAGATCCGCGGCCAGGGCGCGACCGCGCGGTCCGGGCTGCGCCTCCCCGCTCGTCGCGCTGCGGCGAAGCGCGACGGGCGCATGACGGGCGCGTGGTGCGGGGGAGAAGGGTGGGGGGTTGTGTCCGCAGAACGCAGTTGTGGCGTCCGTGACTGCAGTTTCCGAGCGCCCCTTGCCCTCCATCCGGGGCACGAACGAGCCGGCAGCCACGTACATCGCGGAACCGCGGTACATCGCGGAACCGCGCACACGACAAAACGAGCATCTGTCGAGCTGCAGGGGTGTGTTTGCGCGGCGTGACGGCTCCAATCGCGCGGTCTCCGGGTCCGGAGCCGATGCCCACGCCTGCAAGAGCGCCCGGGGCAGTCGAACTGGTCATTCGCCGACATCGCGACCCACAGACAACATGTGACACAACACGACGTGCGCACGGCACGTGTCGCAAGCGTTCTGGTGTGTGTGGCTGCGTCCTGGGCCGCGAACTCACCTGGCTCGGACGGAATGCACAAGCGGTCTGCATCTACAGTGCCGGCCGCCTCCGTCGCCAACCAGTGGCGAAGTAGTCGCAGCAGCGGAGCCGTCGCGGTGGCCTGCAGCTGGGGCCCCTGCAGCGGTGCGTGGAGCAGGCCTTCGTGCCACGCCGAGGACGTTCAGGTCCGACGCGCCTGCGGGGAAGGTACGTTGCGGGTGGCAGTTACGGCGAGTGCGTGGTGTTTCGTGGGGATCCGGCGATAACGCGCGCGTGGGCAGGTGGGAAGGACCGGAGGGTGCGTTTTCGGTGCGACGCGTGACACGGCGGAAGGTGGGGTGCGCGGGGCAGAGGTCGGGGGTGCGGGCGGCAGCGCGGCGCGCGGCGGCGACGGGAACGTCGGAGTGAGCGAGGGCGGTCGGGTTGGCCGCGGCGCCGCGTGGCGGAGGTTCGCACCCAGCGGAGCGCGTCGGGGAGCTCCCGGGGCTTGCGCTTCGCTTCTTTGAAGAGCTGAAGCACTTTCATCTGGATAGCTGAGCGCGGCGCCTGCAGCGCCCTCAAGAGCCCGGGCGCCCTGCACTGGCCGCTCGGGGGTGCACGAGGTTGAGGTGTAATCCGAGGGGACATGGCGCCGCCGGCAGGGCTGCGCCTGCGCGCCCCGCTTTCTCCCCATGCGTCTCGCGCAGCGCCGCGCGACGGCCGGCGGGCCGTCACGGCGAGAAGCCCTAGCTGCCTCGCTCGGCTGGTCCCGTGCGACGCGGCACCGAACGATGCGACCGACACGCGGCTGGAAAGAGAAAGGAACGGCTGAAATCTAAACGAGGAAGCGAGCTGGGCGCCGCACCTGCACCTGCGCCCCGGCGGGCAAGCGCTCTCGGCCGTACCCTGTTTCTCGATGCCTCGGCCTGAGGACCGCAAACGCAACGAACTATCTATCCTCTCGACAGTTCTGTTTCCAGATATGCCGCAAGTGACGACGTCCGGCGCTCGCCGAGCCCTTTGCCGCGACGCCGCGACACGAGGGACTACACGTCGAGGGGGTGACGGCCGCACGCACCCGTCTGGTGAGCGACCAGAACAGCGCCCCCAGCCGCCGCGCCTCGACGCCACGCCGTGCTCATTGATGCGCTGCCATGTCTCGCGCGCTGTCCGCACCAAGTGACACATGTTGCGATTGCATCACACCGAGCGCCGCCGACGACGTTCGAGTTGACGTTTGACGCCATTCGGGCGAGAGTGCTGTTGTGCTGAGCGGTGCAGGTGTTTCTGTTTCTGCGCCCTGCGGCGCGCGGAGACAGCGTGCGCGGCGAGCGTGAGCGTCGCGCGGGGGCGATGTCGACGAGCCGGGTCGCCTCGCCGACGTATGCGTCAATGAAACGAAATGGCGCATGGATTGGACGGGTAAGGAAGGAAGGGCGGTGCATTCGTTTCTGTTCGTGAACGGAAACCCTGACGTCACGTAGCCACCGCAGCCGTGCGCAAGACGCCGTCGCTGCATCCCACCGCGACGGAGGCCTGTCCCAGCGGCGCAACTGCGCAGCACCGCACTCCCCGCGGGGCGACCCCCCGGCAGGTCGCACGCAACAACGCTGGCGCGCCCGCACCGCCCCCCGCCCCGCCGGACGACACCGCGTGTACCGCGAGCGCGCCGTCGTCGCCGGCGGTCAGCAGCGCGGACTTGGCCCCCGCGCCCACGCGCACCGCGCACCGCACCACGTCGTCATGCACGCGACGATTCGCACGCACGCTGCGGCGGAGGTCGAACGTGGAAACCACGCCCAGCTCGTCGCCGCACGCGACGAGGCCCGTGGCCGGGTCGGCCCACGCGAGCGCGTGCACGGGGCTCCCGTTCGCTTGATGGATGCCTGCAATCACGCGGTGTGCGCGCTGAGCGTGGTGGGCGGGCGCTGTGCGCTGGCCGGCGCTGTGTGTGCCGCGGATGCATGCGCTGCGTGCGGGCGCGTCGGACGAGGCCGGGGCGCCGCGACCGGGGTGTGGCGGAGCCCACCGGCAGCGACACACCGCGCATGGAACGTGGTGCCGGGGGCGTTGACGGCCGCGTGCGGCTTCGCGCGGCCAGGCGACGTGCCGTGGGATAATCGTGGTCGTCGTCAAAGGAAACCGAGGAAGGCGAAGGGGGGGGTGTTGCAGGTAGGAATCGGACTCGCATGTGTGGGACACTGTGTGGGCCGTGTGCGCGGCGGGGCAGCTCGCCTGCGGCCTTCGCGATGCGCGTGTCCCAGAGCGTGACGGTCCCGAGGTCGCCGCACGACAGCAGCAGCGACCGGTGCAGCGGCGAGAACGCCAAGCTCCGCATGGGGCTGCGGCTGGCGGTGTAGCGCAGGGCGGGCACGAGCTCCCCCATGGCGGTGAAGATCTGGATGGAGCCGTCGCTCGCGCACGACGCCACCGAGCCCGCGTCGAGCGACACCGCCAGCGCCGACACCGGCGCCGCGTGCAGCGCTTTCGATTGCTCCACGCGCGGCGCGTCGTGCGGCGCCGGGCCCGCGCCGAAGCTCGCTGCGCAGACGGACCCCTCGTCGGTCCCGAAGACCAACACGCGGCCGCCGTCGTCCGCCCACGCCACCGCGCCCACCCCAGAGCGTAGCTGCAGGGCGGGCCCCCTCGGCTGGAGCGTCTCCGCGTCGAGGAACGCCAGCGCCCCGCGCATGTCGCCGAACCCAGCGGTCTGGCACACGCCGCACGCCACGACCGGGGCCCCGGCCCCGGCGGGGGAGCGTGCGAGCGCCGCCACGCTGTGCCCTGGCCCCGCGAGCCGCACGCCGGCCCCGGCCTCGCCCGGACTCGTCATGTCCGCATCCGGATACGACGGGCGCATGCGTCCTGGCCGCGCAGCGGCCGACACGGAGCGCCGCGACCGTGGCACGCGCAGCTCCCGCACACGCGTGCTTTGGTGCGAGGGCGGAGACGTCTCCGTCTCGCGCGAGCTCCGCAGCGGCGACAGGGGCAAGGAGGGCGCGGTATGTGGCCGGCAGCGGGCCGGGACGGCCGATAGCCCCGCCCCGGACGGCCGCACGGGGGGCTTGACAGGACCCCCAACTTGCAGGGAGGACTGCCGCCTGCGAGGCCCCCCGCGTGGGCAGCGGCGGCATTTCGCGGCCCCGGCGCGGCCGCTCGCGGCAGGTCTGTCCAGCGAACGACCGGTTCCGTCTGCGCGGAGGCTCGAGGCTGCGTGACGTCGCGAAAGTGCACAGCGTCTCTAGTACGAGAGTGAGGCCTGCCGGGCGCGCGTGCACGAGAGGATCGCCGGCGGCGCTGTTCCTGAGGCTGCCCTGCAGCCGGGCGTGGCCGCCCGCAGGCGCGTCCGCGGCTGCACGCGGCGCGAGCGCGCATATAGGCTGTGCAGCGGCCCGCGCGGGGCTCCTCCGCAGCCATGTCGCTCCTGGCGATGCCGCTCATCATCGTCTGCCTCGGCGGCGAGATGGTGTACATCCTGGACCAGCGGTTGAGGGCCCAGGGGATCCCCGACAAGAAGGCCGCTGCGGTGATCGACGACTTGCTGCGCGCCATGTTCCGCGTCGAGCTGGTCGACGAGGTCTTTAAGCCCCAGGAAATCTACTCGATGCATTCAGCCAAGGTCGTGTTCCAGAAAATCGCACATAGCTCCATCATGCGCCTCAACGACGACAGGTGCGACGCCCAGGCGCGAAGCCGCAGACCCGGCGCCCCCGCTGCCCCGCCTGCGGGCCTAGCCCAACTGCTGGCATCCCCACGGACCCGAATTGCCCGCGATGCCCGCGCGTGGGCGCCCCGACCGCCCGCGGGCGGGTGCACTCGTATGCGCGCGCTCTCTGCACACCGCGCGTGCGCGTCTGAGCATGCGGTTCGAGCGCCGTCCGCCGCGCCGGCACGCCCACCACATACCAGACGTTCGGTCGGGCGCACCAAGCGCACGTCCCAGTGCCGGAGCCGACGTGGGGAGCAGCGTGCTCTCCCGCCGCGACAGTCGCCAGCCTCTCCAGCTCGTTTCCCGGGCTTTTTCGACCGCCAGGCTGCACCTCACGATGGCACAGACACCACCCTCGCGCACGGCACCCCCCTATTCCTGCTTCCGGGCCACTACCGCAAGCACGGGCCGCCCTAGCGCCACTGCGACCATCATCGCAGTGTCCGTTGGCGCTCGCGACCGCACGCAGCACGTTCCCCCCCCCCGCGGCCCCCACAATCACCCCGCAGCCCCACAAAGCGCCGCCACTGCCGCCCCGGCCCGCCTGCGCGCCGGCCCACGCCCCCACCAGCGCTGCCCAGCCCCCGCTCTCGCAGCATGGAGAAGCTCTACGACCTGATGCTGATGGGGCTGAAGTACAACCTCCTCTGCACCGACCCGCACACGGGCCTCGTCGACGCCACGCGCACGCACCTCGCCACGCTGGCGGACATGGGGACCTCCAATGCCTCGCGCTCGCTCGTCGGACAGTTCATGGAGCGCATGAGCATCTACGACAGCATGTCGCGCGGGTCCACGACGCTCCTGCGGCAGTCCGTGATGCGCTTCCTCCAGGCACGCCCGCCGGCCAGCCCCGCCGCGCCTCTCCGTGTCGCGCACGCACATGCTTACACCGCGTCACCGCGCCGCCGCCGCGCCGCAGGACAAGCGCGTGAAGGTCTCGCTCTTCCTCCAGGAGGGCATCCAGTCCGGCGACTCCAAGTTCTTCCTGCGACAGCCCCTCACGAGCCACGGCGAAGCCATGGCGGGGTCCTGGCAGCTCGACGGACGGTCCGGGGCGCACCGGATCTCCGAGCGGTGCCACGCCGCGGACCTCTTCTTCATGCACAATGCGCCCATCGGGTGCAACTTGTACGACAAGCAGCGCGCGAAGTGCGAGCGCCTCCCAAGGTACCTGGAACCCGTGCCGGTGTCGGGGTCGCCCGGCCGGCAAGGGAGCATCGCGAGCGCGTCAGGCAGCGTCGCGAGCCCGATCGCGAGAGGTGCGCGGCCCTGCCCTGCGCGCTGCCGCCGCGGCCCGGCCTGGTTCGACGGAAGTGTCCGCAGACCTGATTTCTCGAATGCTGTTCCCTCGGTGTGGTCTGCAGGGAAGCAGTCGTCGCGGCACCTCGTGCTCGGCCCCGGCGACGACTACGCCGCCCCGGAACACCCCCTCGCCGCGCCCCCGCCCAACCTCCCCGGGCCGAACTCCCCCGGGCCGGCGGGGGGGGTCTCTTCGCCGGCGCAGGCGTTCGGCATGGCGCCGCGCCGCAGCCCGGGACAGCGCGAGTCCGACCTGGACCGCATCGCCCGCGGCGGCGGCGCGGCGGCGCGCGGCGAAGTGTCGGTGCTCGCCAAGCTCGTAGGCGCCAGCGACCGGCTGCGCGGGGACGGCATCGCGGGCACGCACCTCAACATCAAGAACCTCTTCGGGGGCGGCTTCGAGGTGCGCGCGCTGCTCGAACACAGCGCAGGGCCATGCCGCGGCGGTCGCACTGTCGTGTGCTGCAAGCGGCGACGGGGCGTGCCGCGCGAGCGCGACCGTCGCCGTGGCGTCGCGGAGGCGGGTTGGGGGCGCCTGCGCGGACGTGGGTGCGCGTGGTCGCTTCGGATGGATCTGGAGTTGAGAATTCATGGTTGTTTGTTTTTTTTTTGTGTTTGATGCGCAGTCCGACTTCATGACCGAGGACCAGTCGGGGCGCGCGGTCAAGGCGAACCCGGACGCGTTCCGCGTCCGCAAGCTCGAGCTCGACACGGGCGCCTCGCGCGACTACCGGCAGCGCACTGGTCTGGCGGACATCATGAAAGGGCTCGACCTGGGGGGGGGTCCCGCGGGGCGCGGGGGGGGGGCTGGGGCGGCGGCGCCGGCGAGCAGGGCGGGCGCGGGCGGGGCGGACCCGAGGAAGAACATCGCGGCGGCGGCGGCGGCGACGGCGGAGCGGAAGGCGGGCACCAAGAAACCGGGGGGGGGTCTCGATGTGCTCACGGGGGGCGCGGGGGAGGACACCGGGCAGGACCTGCTCGACATGATGGACGACTTGGACGGGCTCGGAGAGTGATTGGCTCAGCGGTCGCGATGCAGACCAGCGCAGCGCCAGGGCAGCAGGTGGGCGTTGCTGCGCCCGCGCAGGAGCTGTTGCCGTTCGTGGAGAGCCCGGGCGTGCTGTTCGACGAGCGCGCGAGTCGTCTCTGGGACGTTTCGATTGCAGAAACGAACATCTCGACGAACATCGCCGGCGCTGCTGGGCGCCTCTGTGAGCGTCGTGGCCTGTGTCGGAGCACCACCTTTGCACCGGTGAGTTCCGGGGTAGGGCGCAGCGCTGAAGGACCCAGTCGCAGTCCCCGCGAGCCTGCTCGGTCGGCCCGCGCGCTTCCCGCACGCCCGCGCTCGCCTGAAGGCATGGCAGCCTGCTCGGCGGCGCTCGTGTTGGTGCCGTCGTCGGCGCGCGTCGGACGCCGTACAGCCGACCCCGGGACATCCCTGACGATCGCGCTCCCTCAGAGCGCGTCGCACAAGCCGTTGCCCGCTGCGTGGATCGTTCCCGCCCCGTTCAATACGTGGCGGGTGCCATCTGCACGTGTCCGATGGGGGGGAGCGTCGTTGGCCCCGCGATGTCAGCAGCGTGGCGTCGAGCAGGGCGCCGGTGGAGTGAGCGACGTGGCAGCAGAACCGCTGCCCACCGGAGCGCTCTTGCAATGTGTTGCGGCCTGGTTGCACGGGCACGTTCCGTTCCGTTGCGCGCACGTGCCACAAGTGGGACCGCGCCGCCCGGCAGCGACGTCACGGAACGTGCCGAGTACAGCTCTACAGCTCCGCGGGGGCGGCACGACCGCACAGGCCCCTCACACCGCGCGCCGTGCGGCACGCACAGCACCGGCCAGCCTGGGGGAGGGGACGGATTCCGACCGTCAACGGCCACCAACGCGCGCCACGGCAATCCCCGCGCGCTGAACATGCGCTAGACGTGGACGCGGTGCTCATGTTCGGGCCCGCACGGCGGCGTGCTGCACGCGAAAGGCGGGTAGGTGCGCGGTCGGTAGAGGTAGGAGCCCCGCCCGCCCGCGCCTGGGGCCTCTCAACACGGCGGCCGTCTTGTGCAGCAGCGCGGGACGGTCCATGACATTCCGGATACTGCAGCTTCAGCTGCTGTTCCTCCTGTTATTCGCCAGATCTGCGCACTGCTGCTAGGGCACAACCACGCCGGTGCCGGAGCCGGTGCCGGGCGGAGGTGCCTGAAGCACACCTCAGTCGGCAGGGTGCCTGCCTGGAGACCGTCTCGTGTACCTGGTGAGGCCCCGTGTGCGCCAGGTTGTCGCGGTCGCCCGACCATACGGCTGCTCCTTCCATCCCGAACGGGGACGGTCGCGTCGGTTCGATCGCCTCGCGAGTCGGCGCTCTTGGACCGTGACGTTCCGGTCACGCCGTCCCGCCATCGAGAGCGTGACGTCACGCGCAGCGCTCTCGTGTCCGGGCCTCGGACGTCGATCGAACGCGCACCCTGCCTGCGTGGTCGATGTTGGTGCATTGCGGGCCCATGGCCTGGCGCTTTGGGCTTTCTCCGAGCGCGTCGGGGCTAAATGCGATCTCGCGGTACCGTCCCGGAGAGGCCCCGAGCGGAACTGCAACCCTGCTCCGTATCCTGTCGCAGCTGCGCGGCGACACGATGCCCAACACGCGCCCTCTCGATCCTTCATGTCCACAGATCACACCGGCGCCAGCCATGATCCTCGCCCGTCGCGCGTGGAGCGCCCTGCTGGCGGCCGTGCTGCTGCTGACATGCAGTTGTCTCGCGCCCGCGGCGGGCGCGCCGGCCGGGGCGGAGGGCGCGCCCGCCGACAGCCCGGCCGACCCCGAGCTCCTCCCGGACGCGGAGCCCGCGGCGGAGTGGAACGCCAGCGCGCCCCACGACGCCCTGACTCGGCGCCAGACGGTACGCCCCTGCCGCCGCGTTGCCGCGTTGCCGCGCCCGGCGCGCAGACGCAATGCCGGAGCCGTCAACGCGACGCGCCCGCGTGCCGTGCCGTGCAGCTCGCGACGAGGGCGCCCGAGGGCACGTGCAAGGTGCACTGGACGGACTGCACTGTCGTCGTTTACCATGCCAGGGTTTCCTGCTGCTCAATTGTTTGGTGAAATGGACATCAAGGGCGACTGGCTCTACTTCACTGCCGGCAACCAGCTCTTCCGGTACAACATCCGGAGCGGGACGACGTCGGTCCGCATAGCGGGCAGGTCTGACAACGCCGTTGGCTATGGCACAGGCACTCCGACGGCCGTGGGGCTGACCTCGCCTCGCGGCCTGGCGTTCACCCGCGACGGGATGCTGTACTTGGCGGTGTGGCACGCCATCTTCTCCCTGAACCCGGACCTGGCCTCGCTTGCGCTACGGGTGGGGGTTCATCCTAGTCTCGGCAACTACGCTGGCCCTCTCCTGAACCCGCCAATAAACTCCGTCAGCAGTGGGACTGGGAATGGGCGCGTCAGTTACCCAGTGGGCCTTTGCGTCGACCGCGACGACCGCGTCCTCATCGCGGACTACTCCAACCGTCGCGTGCTCAGGTATATACCTGAGTACAGGTATATATACCTTGTCGCCTGCCAACCTGGAGGTCGTCGCAGGCATTACGGGTACCTACGCGTTCCGTGACGGCCCTCTCGGAGTCAACTCATTTCGATCTTTGACAGGGCTGGCGTGCGACCGCGCGACGGACCTCGTGTACCTCTTCGATTCGCACTACTCGAATGACGCCGGCATGTCTTCACCCAAGACGGGTCTCATTCGCGTTCTAGACCGAGACGGCTACGTGAGGACCATCGCTGGTGGCCTGCCTACGACAATCCGCCTCGGGCCGGCCAGATGTTCGGGCCGCTGGCCGAGTTCTACAACAGCGGCAACGGCGGACAGCTTCTGTCCAACGTGGCGGTACACGGCAAATACATCTATGTCGCCGACCACTCGAGCAACACCGTGAGCGGTCCTGGACAGTACCGAGTGGCCATGATGAAGGCGCTCGGGTACGGCACGGGTGGAAGCACCGTGGTGGGACCATCGCGGGCACGTCCAACGCTAGGGGCTATGGCAACGGCAACGCATCCCTGTCGACAACGACGTTGTCCTTCCCGACGACGGCCGCTGTCGACCACGCCACTGGGCAGCTGTACATCCGTGACAATGCCCGCATGCGGGTGCTCACCCCGGACGCGGGCGCGGAGGCGTGCGTCGAGGGGGTGTTCCCTTCCGGGGCCCCCGGGTGCCCGATCTCGTCGTCGGAGGTCGTCGATGGCGGCATCGCGCACCGCTGGACGGGTGGCCGCGCGAGCAGCACCTGCCGCCGCGCATGGGTCGCGGAGCCGGACAACCTTGGGTGGCGCGGGTGGCGGCACACGGCGCAGCCGCCCCACCTGGTGCACCCCGCCACGCTGGAGCAGGTCAACCGGTCCACGTCGGGCCCTGTCGCGGTGCCGCTGCCGTGGATGTTCCAGCCCTCCGACGCCATCTACCAGAAGGAGGAAGCGTTCACGGGCATCCAGGAACCCAGCGCCGACTGGCGGCTGGTCAACGTTTCGTGGCACTCGCTGCTCGCCCAGTACCAGCGCACCAACGAGGACCTGGGCGCCGAGCTGACGTACCACAGCCTCACCACGCACACCGCTCCGACGTCGACGTACGACACCCTCGTCTACCTGGGGCGCACGCGGTTCGAAGTTCCCCCCGGGGGCGTGCCCGCGTCCCTGCGGATGGCGTTCGTCTGCGAGGACCGCTGCACGGTGTACGTCAACGGCGAGATCGCCGCCTCGAAGTGGGACACGGACGGACCTGACCCGATCGGCGACGCGTTCGCCCGGCGGCGCAAGGATCTCTGGATCGACCTGGGCTCCGACCACGCCGGGGAGACGGACTCGCTGATGGGGCAGACGTGGGGCTGGGGCGGCGGCGGGTTCTACCGCAGAAACGTGCCCCTGAAGGAGGGCATCAACACCATCGACGTCGCCAGGGAGTCGATGGACGGGACGCGGCACAGGCTGGACTACGCGCTCTACCCGCCCGATGCGGCGAGCGCGTTCCTGAGCAGCATCCGCCCGTGCGAAGACCCGAATCCGGCGTACCCGGAGTTCCTCGACCAGGCGGCGCCCGTCACGGCGTGGGACGGCGACACCCTGGTCGTCGGGGAGCCGACGGACGACGGGCTTGGGGCCGACGCGGGGAAGGTGACGGTCGTGCAGTACAACGCGGCGTCGGAGGCGTGGGAGGTCGCCGCGAACCTCACGTCGCCGGACTCCGTGGCGGGGTCGCGCCTCGGAGCAGATGTCGCCGCGGGGGCGGGGTGGGTCGCAGCGGGCGCTCCCGGACACTTCAGCGGGCAGGGCGCCGTGTTTGTGTTCCGCGCGGGCCCGTACCGCCAGGTGGGCGTCCTGCAGCGCGAGACCACGGCCACGAGCGACATGGGCTTCGGGAGCGCCGTCGCGATGAGCTCGGACGCGGAGACGCTGGTGGTGAGCGCGCCGACGCCCGGCGCGATATACTTCTTCGCGCGGTCGGCGGGGGAGCCGGCGTTCTCCCTGGGCAGCCGCGTGACGCCCACCGCGCTCGCCACGGACTACTCTGGGGTCCTCGGCTCCGTGCCCGGGTCCCTCGCGCTCGACGCTCAGTGGGGCCTCGCGGCGGCGGGGACCGTCGAGCGTCACGCGGACGGCAACGACTACGAGTACGTCCTGGTGTTCCGCTTCGAGGACGCCTTGGGGTTCGGGTCTCCAAGCAGCGGCGACCACCCATACGAGTGGGCGCACACGTGGACGCTCAACGTCGGGAGCGTCCTGGGCCTGCGAGGGTGCTGGGACAGCCTGCAGCTCTCCGCGAGGCAGCTCGCCATGGGCTGCAGCGGTGGGTCGGACAGACCGGGGTTGGGGAACGGCTTCTGGAAGGACGAGGGCACAGTCGCCACGGTCAAGATCGCTCATGACGGCAGGGGCACTCAAACCGGGGACTACTACAGGGCCGACCCTTCATCTCCGGGCTCAAGCTCCGTCATGCACCTCCAGGACATCACAGGGCACGCGTCGCCAGATGGGAACATGTACGGGGCGTCGGTGGCCCTGGCTGACTCGGCAGCGACGTTGTACGTCCTGTCGCCCGGGAGCGGCTTGCAGGTGTTCGAGAACGCCAAGCGCCCTGAGGCTCCGGACGTGGACCACATGTGGGAGATCAAGACCAGTGTGCCTGCGGAGGCGCTCGGGGGCTACGACGTCGACTACTCGCCGAGGTCCCTGGCCGTGGGGCCGGCCGGTCAGATCGCGGTGGCGACGGCAGAGGGCGTCCGCGTGCTGCAGTTCGTCTGCAAGGAGGCGGGGCGCGCGTGCCCCGCGGCCCTGCGCTCGGCGTGCCCCGCGGGCACGTCGCGGTGTGTCATGTCACGGACGCCGCGCCGCGCTGCGTGCCCGGCGACGCCGAGGCGTCGTGCGCCGACGCCCACGTGGTCGAGACCACGGCGCGGAACATCGGAGCGGCCTCCCTCGCGGAGCACGGCGGGCTCATTTACGCGACGGCGCCCCTGGACGACCGCATCTACCGAATCGTGGATCGCGACACCGGCGAGCTCGAGACATTCGGCATCGAATTCGAAGGAAAGAAGCCGCGTGGGATCGCGGTGCTGGGGGACTTGGCGTACATATCGCTGGAGGACGACCACACCATCCGCTCTAGGAGCCTGACCGTGGACGGGCCTGTCGGGCTGCCAGGATTCGGGGTCCGCGTCGGCGCGTCGCTAACGCCTGGCGATGCAGTCGGCTCCGCCTCGTCGACGCGCTTGCGGTCGCCTCAGGGCCTCGCGCTGGAGGGTGCGGACGGGGTGCTGATCGCCGACGCTGGCAACCACCGTATCCTGAGGCTCACGATATCGACGTCGACGGTCGAGATCGTTGCCGGTATCTCTGGTGCGGCCGGGAACGTCGACGGGGCGGCGCTGCAGGCGAAGTTCCACTCGCCGTCGTCCGTGGCGTTCGATGCGACGACGGGCGCGATCTTCGTGGCGGACCGCGGCAACGATCGCGTGCGGAAGATCCTCGGCGGGCAGGTCACGACGTTCGCTGGCAGCGTCGACGGCGGCGCGGACGGGTTCCGCACGTGCGCGAGGTTCTCCCTGCTGTCGGACATCAAAGTGGACAGCGTCGGCAACGTGTACGTCGCCGACGGGAAGCAGGGCGTGCGTTTCATCAGCGCGGCGACGGGGAACGTGACGACCCTCGCGGGCAGCGCCGGGGAGGCGGAGGGCTACGTCGACGGCCCTGCGTCGGGCGCCCGCTTCTCCAACCAAGGCTCCATGGGGCTCCTCCTGGACGAGAGCTCGGGCAACGTCACCAGCGTCTACGTGGGCGAGGCAGGGAGCGCGGCCTTCAGGGGGTACGTGCGCCGCGTGCGCGCGTACACCGGGCCGGACGCGCCGCTCGCCAGCCACGTGGCCCGCCACCCCGCGTGCTCGTCTCCCCCCGGCGGGGTGGCTTCCTGCCCGCATTCGCGGCAGACCTGCGCCGAAGCGGGCGGGTGCTCGGGCGCGCAGACGTGCCGCGACCACCAGCTCGGGCACTCGTGCGGGGACCCTGTCGACGTCATGGCGTGCGCAGCGCGCTACACCGTGGCCGCAGTCGCCGGGGGCGATGACGGAATGCACCCTTCCTCGTCGGACCGCGCGCGCCTGGACGGGGCCGGTCGAGCGGCGTCGTTCTGGAACCCGACCGGCATTCACGTGGCGCGGGACGGTAGCGGTGTCGCGTACGTCACGGAGTGCAACGGCAACGCGGTGCGGAGGCTGAGCGGCGCGGGGCTGGCGACGGTGGAGACGATGGTGACGGAGACGGACAACGCGCTCATGAACTGCGCCTACTCTGTGGCCGTGGTGGGCAACGACTTGTACGTGGCGTCGTACTACGACCGCGACTGGCCCAGCGGCGGCATGTCGAGGACGTTCACGCGGTACTCCTTCGCGGACATCACGGACCCCGCGAGCAGCCGCACGGCGACGGTGATCGGCAGCCGCACGGGCGCCTCGGTGTCCGAGGCCCATCACTCATCCGTCAGACTCAACTTCGTGCGCGGAATGGACGCCGATGCATCCGGGAAGGTCCTGTTCAACGAAGTGCACGGGTTCCGCGTGCGCGTGTACGACCCTGCCACGGGGCAGATCTCGACGCTCGCGGGCGCGGGGGTGTCGGGGCGGCGCGATGGCCCGGGGGCCGAAGCGTCCTTTGGAGAGCTGTGGCAGATCGCGCACGACCGCGTGACCGGCATGACGTACGTGACCGACTCCCTGACTCTGGCGGTGCGGCAGATCGCTCCTGATGGCTTCGTGAGGACCGTGGCGTCGTCAGCTGCAGGCGGCGCGTTCACGGGCGGGGGCGTCGGGTCGTGTGCAGGTGGGATTGGCACCCCGCACGCCGTGGCGGCGCACGCCGGCGAGGTGTTCTTCTCCGCGGATGCGCCGGAGGCCAACGAGTGGCGCGTCTACCGCGTCGCGGGGGCGAACATCAGCGTCGTGGCGGGCGGGCTCCGTGCCTCGCTCGGGTACGAGCTGGCGAGCAACTGGGGCCCGAAGACCGGCCCCGGCGACCTCGTGGCTCCCTCTGCGGTGTACTCCATGTCCCTCGACCCCGCCAGCGGCAAAGCGTTGTTTGTTGACCAAGCGTCCTCTGGGGTCTACTCGCTGGAGCGCACGGGCGCACCATGCCCGGCGCCCAGCCGCCCGCCCTCGACGGGGTCGCTGTGCGGCTGGAAGCACGCCCGCGTCGCGTGCTCGGCGGCGTCCTGCCCCACGGACACCACGTGCGTGGAGGCGGACGCCGGTCACTACTGCCGGCCCGCGAGCGCTGCCGCATGCGACGAGCTGTGGAGCGTCAGCACCTACGCGGGTTCGGGCTTCTTGTTGTCTCCGCTCACGGCCGCGAACGACGGGTACCGGCTCAAGGCCACAATGAAGGACCCGGGGGGAGTCGCGATGCGGTCGAACGGCGACGTGTTCTTCACAGACGCGGACGGCCTGATCCGGAAGGTCGACGCCGCGACAGGACAAGTGTCGACCTACGGCGGCGGCACGGCGGGCGCCATGGCGGACAACGCGGACCCGACGCAGGCGCGATTCGGGACAGTCCGCGCCCTCGCAGCGGCCCCGGACGACACGCTGTACGTGGTGGAGTGGGCCGACCACCTCCTCAGGACCATCGCCTCCAGCGGCGCTGTCACCACGGGGCCGTTCACGAGCCCCGCGGGGGCGTCGGGCTTCGGCAGCGGCGAGACCGATCGCAAGCAGCTCGCGCGCCCGACGGACGTCGCGGTCGTCCCCGGCGTCCCGGGCGACCTGGTCGTGTCGGAGGGGGAGGGCAACAAGATCGTGCGGTACATAGCGGCACTGGACACCGTGATCATTCTGGCGGGCAACGGCCAAGCGGGGTTCCGCGACGGGCAGGGCACGCAGGCCATGTTCCACAACCCGACGGGCGTCGCGGTCGACGCGTCCGGCAACGTCTACGTCGCCGACCAGGGCAACTACCGCGTTCGTCTCATCTCCCCCCTCGGCATCGTGTCCACGCTGGTCGGCTCGGGGGCCTACGACGGCGGCTTCAAGATCGGAGCCGGATCTTGCGCGCAGATCCAGCCCGTGTCCGTCTCGGCTTCGTTCTCCGGCGCGGACGTGTACGTCACCGACGCGACGGCGGGGAGAGTTCTGCAGATCCGGGGGGACCAGCTGGTCGCTGTCGCTGGGGCCGACGAGGCCGGCCACGTCGACGGCGTGGGGAGGCTCGCGCGGGTGCAGCCGGGCGCCATCCTGGCCCCCGGCCGCGACGATCAGACGATGGTGGTGCTGGAGGCGAACGGCGGCCAGAGCTCCATCAAGCTCCTGCAGCGCGGACCTGCGCCGTGTTCGGCCCCTCCCGCTGCGAACGCGAGCTGCACGGCGCCGGCGTCGACTCCGGCGCCCTCGCCACAGGCGCAACAGCCCTGCAACGACACGAGCCTGTGTGCGGCTGGGCTGACGTGCCTGAACGTCCCAGCGGCCGCGGGCGGCCACGTGTGTGCGAACATCACGCACCCCTGCGCCGGCGCGTGGGCGTCCTCGAAGGTGGCGCCGACCGCAGAACTGGCCGGGCAGGTCCCCTCCCTGGAGTCCGCGGCCGTGGTCGAGGCGCTGACTGCCGACCCCGCTGACAACACCAGGAGCGTCAACGTCCTCACGGGCGTCGCTGCGCGGACCGAGGGCCAAACGAACTCCTCGAGCGCGTTTGATGGGAACCCTGCGACTGTGTGGAGCTCCGCATCGCCCGCGACGCTGGTGTACGAGATGCCGACGCCCGTCGTGGTGACGGCCTACCAGGTCGTGACGGGGGCCGGGGACCCTCAATCTTGGATCTTGGAGGGCTCGAACGACCAGGTCATCTGGCGACAGCTTTCGGTGTCCACTGGGAACGCTGCAGGGGGCACGTACGACATCAGCGTCGACCCGCTGCTGCAGGCGCCATTCGGATGGTTCAGGCTGAACGTCACAGCCCCCAACCTCGTCAGCGTCGCAGACTTCTCCCTCACCGCGCGGCGCTTGGTCACGGGCGGCGCTGCCAGCGCCCCACCAACGTTGTCGCAGCCACGCGATGTGGTGCACGTGGCGGGGGACGTCCTCGTCGCGGACGCCGCGGGCCACCAAGTCCGCGTCCTCAAGACGACGGGGCACTCCGTGTCCTCCGTGCCTTTCGCGGGGATCGCCGAGGAGGCGGCTGCGCTGGTGATGGGCGACGTTCGCGGCCCGGCGCGCCTGCACAGCCCCGCAGGGATCGTCAGGGACTCCAGCGGCGTGGTCTTCATCGCGGACGCCGGGGCCAACGTCGTCGTGAAGATCGTCGGGACCGTCGCGTCGGTGGTGGTGGGCGCGCTGAACGGCGCGGCGGGCTCGGCCGTCGGCGCGCCGACTGACGCGACGGCAGGCCGCCTGAACGCCCCCGAGGGACTCGCGCTCGATTTCGACGGCACGGGCCTGATCATCGCCGACACGGGCAACCACCGCGTCTTGCACTACACCGGGAACACGCTGGCGGTCCTCGCGGGCGCGGCGGGGACGCCGGGGCTGGTCGACGCCGTCGGCGGCGCCGCGCGCTTCAGCTACCCGACGGGCGTGGCGTTCGACCCGTCGTCGAACCGCACGTACGTGGCGGACAAGGGCAACAACGCCGTCCGCGTGATCTTCAACGGCACGTACGTCGGGACGTTCGCGGGGTCCCTGCAGGGGGCTGCGGGATGGGTGGACGGGTATCGCGCGCTCGCGCGCTTCGACGGGCCGCACGGCATCGTGCTATCCGACGGGGCGCTGGTCGTCACGGAGGAGCGCGGGCGGCGCGTGCGGCAGGTCAATCTCGGCGGGACTGTGTCTACGATCGCGACCCCGGCGCAGCTGGGCCTCGAGGCGCCGCCCGCGAACGCGACGCTGAACCCCGCGCACTCGGGCCCGATGGGGCTGGACCACGCGGGCAGCGGCGACCTCGTCATCGCCGTGGGGTCCCTGCCGGAGGTGCGGCGCCTGACGGTGGAGGGCTCGGCGCCGGCGAACTGCTCGACGGAGGCCTCGGACCCGGCGGGCTCCGTGGGGTGGGAGGACGAGTGCGCCGAGGGCACCAGCGGGTGCGACGCATCGGCGTCGTGCATTGACCTGCCGGAGAGCCGCTCGTTCAAGTGCAGCTGCCCGCACGGGTACACGGTGGACGGCACGCCGACAGGGGCGGCGGACGACATCGGCGCGTCGGCGTGCAGCGACGTCGACGAGTGCGCGCACGGCACGCACACGTGCGCGGCGACGCAGCTCTGCACCAATGTCCTGGGCAGCTACTACTGCACCATCTACTGCGACGCGATCGCCGGGGTTCCGAGCACGTTCTGCGTCGCCGGAGCGTGACCCGCCCCCTTGTAGGCCGTCCTCGGACCGGATCACACTACCCACCTACCTGTGTCCGACTTACTTACTTACTCCTCGCACTCCTTTCTACACTCCAGCTCCAACCCCCTAGTTTCTCTATCTCGCTGCCCACTCGAAAATTGCGACGATCCGCTGCGTGATTATGTACATGGACGCGTTCTATGTCTAGGTTTCGAGGTGTAGATATGAGCTCGCTGGTGCACCACACATGTGGCCTCCCGCACCACGAGCTGGGCAGCTGGTGCCCCTGCCTGCTCGAGCTGGTACGGGGTACGCGCGCGCAAGGTTGGACGGGAAGAGACAAGCGATTCCCGGCTTTATGCGAGATAGAACAGACAAATAAGACAAGAACAACTCAAGCACAGCATCTGCTCTGCTGCCTTGTTCGCATGCGAAAGATGTGACACCCCACCTCACCTCAGCGCAGCTCGTGGGGACACGTCACGGCGTCCCGTTCCGCCGCTCACGAATCTGGGGATGCCTGTAGGTCGGCAATCGAGCAAAAAACAACCATGGCAGATGGTGTCATGCATGGTACCTGGCTGTGGACGTTGCCCGCGCGCCGACAAGCACTGTTCACGGAGTGCTCGTTGCGGGGGAGGTGCGGGATGCGTGCAAGGCGGTGCGGGCGCGCCCTGACTGGACGCCGGCGGACTGACAGCGGGGCGCGGCTGTGTCAGTCGGGCCCCAGGCGGCCTGGGGCCTGCTCCGCGGGCTCGTTGGACAGTGTACCGCGTGACCTGCGCAAGGTGTACCTGGATCTCCTTCTACGACTTCGTTGCGCCGCAATCAGTGCGTCCTGTTTGCCGCTCTAGGGTCTGGCTGCGCGCGCGAGGGCCTGACGTGTCTGAGCGTTGGACACCGTAGCCACACGCGAGTGATCTTGCATGGTCTTGCGCGCTTTGCGCCGACTCTTCTTCGGAGCAAGGTGCGCTGCCATGCAAGGGAGGAAGCACACGTTGCGCCCGTGCACGTGGCTCCCACGGGCGATTCGTCTCATCCTGTGTGCTCCATCGATACTTCTGACCACGCCCAATCCGTGTACATGGCAGTCCGAGGCAAACGCGATCTGGGGAGGCGGCGCACGCCCATTTCGCTGCTGCCTCTGTTCACCGCCCTCCTCTCTGATCCCGCGCCGTGAAGCGACGCGGCCCAGGACTCGTACCGCTCTTCACGTGCCCTTCGCGGAAATGAGAGGCACCCCGCGTCCGCGCCCCGTGCGCGCCTCTGCGGGGCCTCGCCTTTTTCTCTGCAGCACGGTGCATCCGCGCACGTCCGTGCACAGCTCGCACCGGCTCCCAACGCGCCCACGCGCTGGTCGCTGGACTGCAGAAGCATGAGCGCGAAGGCTGAGCGTCAGTTCGACTATGACCTCTTCTGCATCGGAGCGGGCTCGGGCGGCGTCCGCACGTCGCGCATGAGCGCCAGCTACGGCGCCAAGGTCGGCATTTGCGAGATGCCGTGGCACCCGATCTCCTCCGACACGCACGTACGTCCTCCCACCTCCACGCACGGCGCCGTTCGCGCCGACACGACCACGCACGGCCGCGCTCGAACCAACGCGTCGCTCCTCCGCCCCGCGACGCGCAGGGGGGCGTCGGCGGCACGTGCGTGCTGCGCGGCTGCGTCCCGAAGAAGCTCATGGTGTACGGCAGCGAGTTCAGCGAGTCGTTCAGCGACTCTGCGGGCTTCGGCTGGAGCCTTGGTGGCGCGCCCAGCTTCGACTACGCAACGTTCAAGGCCGCCAAGAACAAGGAGCTCGAGCGCCTCAACGGCATCTACCACAGGCTCCTCGCCAACGCCGGCGTCGAGGTCCGTTCCCTCCCGCCCCGCGCCGTTCGCCTTCCTGCGTCGCGCGCGCGGCCACTCGACGGCGACCGCGCCGGCCCGCGTTCCGCAGCTCATCGAGGGCCGTGGCAAGCTCGTCGGCCCGCACGAGGTCGAGATTTCGACCGCGGACGGCCCCAAGCGCGTCACTGCTGCCAAGATCCTCGTCGCGCCCGGCTCCAAGGCGTGGGCGCCGCCGATGCCCGGGCTCGAGCACACGATCACGTCGGACCACGCGCTCGAGCTGGATGCGTTCCCGAAGAAGATGTTCATCGTCGGCGGCGGGTACATTGGCATCGAGTTCGCCTGCATCTTCCAGGGGCTCGGCGTGGAGGTGCACTACTCGTTCCGCGGCGAATATCCGCTCAAGGGCTTTGATGAGGAGTGCAGGTGCGCGGGAAACGTCCTGATGCGCGCTGATCGGCCCCGCGCGACGCCGCGCTGCAGTTCGTTTTCACGAGCGCCGTTTCCGCGCAGCGTCGTCGTCGGGCCGCGTGTCCGCCGTGCGTTCCCGGGTGATCATCGACTTTGTTTGCGCTCGCGTGGTCTGCGCGCGCAGGAAGTTCCTCACGGAGCAGATCGACCACCACCACAACCTGACCCTGCACAAGAACTGGACGCCCACGGAGGTGGTCAAGCAGGCCGACGGACGGTACACGCTCAAGGCCAAGGACAGCTCCGGCGCGGAGCACGAGGTGAAGGACCTCGACCAGGTCATGATGGCCACCGGGCGGAAGCCCAACACTGCCAACATGGGCCTCGAGGACGTGGGCGTGGAGCTCGACGCGAAGAGCGGCGCGATCAAGGTCGACGAATACTCGCGGACGAACGTTCCGTCGATCTACGCCATCGGCGACGTGACGGACCGCATTCAGCTGACGCCAGTCGCCCTCATGGAGGTCCGCGCCCCGACCCACGCCGCGACGGCGCCCGAACGAGCGCGCGAAACACAATACCTGGAATTATTTTCTTTCCCCCGCCCCGGGGAGCAAGCATTCCTTTGTTCTCACGCCGCTGACGCGGCGCTGCGTGCAGGGCATGGCGCTGGCCAAGACGCTGTTCAACAACGAGCCCACGTCGCCGGACCACGAGGCGGTGCCGTCCGCGGTCTTCTCGCAGCCCTCGCTCGCGTCCTGCGGCCTCACCGAGGAACAGGCTCTCCAGAAGCACCCCGACCTGGACGTGTACTCGTCGTCCTTCCGCCCCATGCGCGCCACGCTGTCCGGGTCCCCGATGCGCGCGCTCATGAAGCTGCTGGTCGACGCGAAGACGAGCCGCGTCGTCGGCTGCCACATGGTCGGCCCGGAGGCCGGGGAGATCATGCAGGGGATGGGGTTGGCGGTGAAGCTCGGGGTGACCAAGGCGCAGCTGGACAGCCTGGTGGGGATCCATCCGTCGACCGCGGAGGAGTTCGTGACGATGCGGTCGCCGGCGCGGAAGTTCCGCGCGGGTAAGCTGCAGGAGTGAGCGGCCGGGCGGCCGCCGGAGCCGCCCTGGTGAGCGTGAGAAGCTCTCACCAACGCAAACGAGCCTGCGGAGGGCGCGTAGTTGACCTGCGTGGTGCTGCGTGCGTCGCTGGCGGGGCGAGCGCGTGGCGTGGGGGCTGCGGCGCCGACAGCAGGGCAGATAGGGCGGGAGGCCCGCGTCCGAGTTGTAAAATCGCAATGGGCGGTGTCACGGTTCGTTGAACGAATTACAACATGCTCCGCGTGCACGCACCGTGCGCTCCGCTGCAGAGCAGGTACGTCCGCGCCGGCCTCGTCCGGCGGACGAGACCCCGCCCGCATGAGACTCCCCCTCGGCCGCCAGTACGGGTGCGAGCGCATGCACGCACGATGGCAGTCGTCGCCACCCCACGGCAACACGCTGCCGCGCGCACGTCGCGCCCCGCCTACATGACGACGCAGCACGACTTCTCGCCCGCGCCGGCAGTGTCCTGCGCGCCCGCGGGGGAGTCTAGCGCCTCGATGATGTCAGTCAGACGCTCGACGATGTCAGCAAAGCTCGGCCGCTCGCCGCCCTGGCCCGCCCAGGCCGACTCGATGAGCTGCTTCAGGTCCCTCGACCACTTCTTCGGCAGGTCGGGCCGCCAGCCTTTCGACACGTTCTCCGCGTACCCGTAGCAGTTGTAGAAGTCAGCCTTGGGGAGGTGACTGGAGATGAGTTTGAACGTCAAGAGCTCGTACGCGATGACCGCGAAGCTGAAGACGTCGGCCTTCTCGTTGTACTTCTCCGAGCGGAACACCTCGGGCGCCATGTAGAGCAGCGAGCCAGTCAGGCCCGTGAGCTGCACCGGAACATACTCTTTGAATATCTTGTGCGTGCTCGGAATGTACCCTCGGCTCTTCAGCCGCTCCAGCTCGATCTCCTCCGGCCGCGTCCCCAGCCCTTCCCGCGGCACCTCGCTCTCCTGCACGCTCGACTCCTGGCACATCAGCGCCGCGTCGATGCTTTCCGCCACTTGCTTTGCCACCTCCTTGTCGCTGCCTTCCATAGACCCCGTCGCCACGGGCGTGTCGTCCGCCTGCGGCGCCTCCACCGTGCTCGTACCGTCCACGGAGGCGCGCTCGCCCTCCCTGACAACCGACAGCTGGTGGACCTGCGCGTTCGCGGCCCCCACGCGGACCGGGATGGCGGGTGCTGCCGCCCCCGAGGCACGGAACGACCCGTGAACGCCGTGGTGCTGGCCCTTGCCCGCCGCGGCCTGGATCGCGGCCTTGCGCGCGAGCTCCCCGGAGTCCCCGACCAGGATCTTGCGTCGCCGGACGTCGAGCAAAACGTCCTTTCTTGAATAGGCTTTGCTCAATCCGAAGTCCACGATCTTCGCCGCGGCCTTGGAGGGGTCCTTCGACGTCAGGAGGACGTTCTCGAGCTTGAGGTCCCGGTGGATGACCGTCGGGTGCGCGTTGTGGAGGTACGACATGCCCCGCGCCACGTCGCGCAGCCACCGCAGCGCCTGGCGAAAGGTATACAGCTTGCGGCCGTCGAGCTCGACCGCGCGGATGAGGTTCCGGAGCGTCCCGCCCTCGCAGAACTCCTGCGCGAGGAAGATGTCCGCGCTCTCGAGGCTCAGGTTCTCCAGCGACTCCACCACCTCGCCCTGCGACACCCCCGACCGGATGGTTCCGATGCCCTTGAAGCCCACGATGTTGCGGTGGTCGAGCCGCTTCAGCGTCTGCACCTCGTTCAGGAAGTCCTGGATCGCCGCCTCGTCGATGGCCTCCGGCAGCAGCGTTTTGATCGCCAGCGGCACCTCCTTCCCGTCGTCGTACCGGTAAAACATGAGCTCCACGGTGCCGAAGCCGCCGCGCCCGAGGAGCTTGACGCGGCGCAGGCGGTCCGCGTCCAGCACGAAGTCCGTGAACATGTCGCGCAGCGTGCGGAACTGCCCCGTCACTTTCTTCATCAGCACAGCCTTGCGCACAGCGCGGCGGAACTTCGCGAGGGCACGCGCGCGGGCGTCCTCGTTGCGGATCTTGCTGATCTCGCGCGTGACCGCGGCCTTGGTCTCGGACGGGATGCCCGGGGAGTCTGCGGCGGGCGGGACCGGTTGCGGCGTGAGGGAGGGCGCACGTGACGCTGTTGCTGCGGGCGCTGAGTGGGGTCGCTGCGGGGGGGCCGCGGACCTGTGCTGAAGCCGCGGCGGTCCGGGCGGGCGGCCTTCGGCGCGTCGATGACGGCCGGCACCACCTTGGTGCTCTTGCTGCGTGCGCCTGACATGCCCATCGTGTGCCGGTGAGCGGGCGCAGCCTGCGTGGACGCGGGGGGGGGTTTCGAGCGCGGGTGAGCGCGGCGCGACGACACCACGCAGAAATGAGTGCCCTGGACGGGCGCGGAGGCCGCGGCGACGCGGAACAGAGGCAGCGCGGCGGGAAGCCCTGGCAAAAGCACAAGGGAGCTGCCTGAGGGGTCGGAGACGCGCGCAGGAGCAGACCTCGCAAGGATTGACTCGCGCGGGCTGACGGAGAGTGTACAGGGAGGCGTGATTCGCGGCTGAGGTGGGAGACGAGGCGTTGCTGGGCCCTGGGGCCGCGCAGAAATGTGAGCGCTGGCCTGGTCAAGCGCCGCCCGGTGCGCCGCGTGCAACGCCGAAAAGGCCGGGTCATGGGGCGCGACGTGCAGGCAGAAGGCACGAAAGTCCCTGGAATGCGGTGTCTGGGCCGAAAACGGTCAAATACCGCGGTGGTGCGGCGCGAATCGAGAAAACCTCGAGTGAGGGCTGGCAGAGGCTCCTGTCCCGGGCGACGCTCCCTGGCGGCGCCGGAGGGCCAGAGATGACACAAGACAGCGTAGACGGCTGGTGCGCGGCGCACCTGCGGCTTGCAGGCTACGTACGGGGCTTCCTTCCCCCCCAGATGCACCCGGGCGCCGAGGCTGCTCTGCGACCCTCGCAGCCCGCGGCGCGAGCGTCTCTGGACTAGGACCGCTGTGTCTAGCTCCCGCCTTCGACACGGCCCTGCGCACGCCCGCAACGCCCCTCGTTAGACGCTGTCAAGCTACAAGCACGCTGACTCCGCGGTATGAGGGACCGACGTCGCGGAACTGCGCTTCAGCGTGGATGCTCAGTGCGCGGACAACGCCCCGGGCGACCCAACGGCCCTCGCGGGCGTCCACATCCGCGCAAATGGCGTCAGGAGTGTCTCCCTGACCCAGGTGGGGGCGGTGCCGCGAGGAGGGGGCTGGGACGTGGTTGAGGCGTCGTAGCGGCGGCCTGGCGGCGCGAGGGGGCAGTGCGCCGCGGATAGAGCGGGCAAAGTGCGGCGGGTGAGCGGCATCGTACACGGGAGGTGTAGAATTAGTGTGGATTGTTGCCGCGCCTGGCGTGGGCTCGCGGGCGCCTGCGCGTCAGGGATGGAAGCACTGCTCGGTGGGCAGTGTAACCCCGTCGTCGCGCTCGAAAGAGGGAGTGCTCGAGAGGCGCGGAGGCGAGTTGCAGGAGGAGGGCTCCTGCGCACGTTCCAGCCCGGGCGCGGCAGCCCCGGCGACGCGCCAGCGACAGAAGGGAGCAGCAGGATGGGCAACGTGCCGCGCAAGCCGGCCGGGCGGCAGTCGCTCGCCGGGCAGGCGTCGGCCACCAATGGCAGCGGGCAGGGACCTATGCGCGCTCCTGCGGGCTTGGACCGCTCCGAAACGACCTCGCAGAACATCATCCGCGTCTTTAGTTCCCAAGTGGGCAACGGAGAGGTGAGGCGCCCGGCGCTCATCACCGGGGAGCCCCGCCGCGCGGCCGTCGAGAGACCAGCCCACACAGCGGCTCCAGGGGCGCAACACGCCGCTCCATGCACGCGTTCCGCCTCGCACGCATCGACCTCGACCCCGCAGAGCCGCCGCCCGCACCGCTCCGCAGAAATCCCAGCCCGGGTTCGACATTGACATCACAAAGGAGAACTTCGCCCCCATGCTGGACGAGTTCCGGCGCGCCCTGGCCGAGCCCGGCGCGCTGTTCTGCGCGTTCGACCTCGAGATGTCCGGGCTGATGGCCGACGGCGCGCACGGCAAGCTGGACTCGCTCGAGGAGCGCTACATGGCCATGCGCGGCGACGTGCAGCAGTTCCTCACCACGCAGTTCGGCGCGTGCGTCGTCTCGCAGGACGGGTCGCGGCTCGTCGCCAAGTCCTTCAACTTCAACGTCTTCCCGCGGTCAGGCACCCAGAAGGGCCCGCGGAAGTTCCTCTGCGACGCTGGTGCCCTTGAGGTGCGTCCCCGCGCGCCCAGCGCCGCACCGAGCTCCGCCTCTCGCCGCAGCGATCCCCCGCCGCATGCCTGCCATCTCGTGCACGCCCTCGCGCGCGCCCACTGCCGCCCGACCTCGCCTCCGTGCGCACCCCCTTTGCACCTCACACGCCCCGCGCGCCCGGCCCGTCCGCGCGCGCAGTTCCTAGCGAACAACCACTTCGACTTCAGCAAGTGGGTCCACCGCGGGATCTCCTTCGGGACCCTCGCGGACAGAGACGAGGCCCTCAAGCGCCCGTACGTGTCGCCCTTCTCCCGCGAGGGCGTGACCGACATGCACCTGCGAGACGACCTGAAGGCGTTCGTGGAGGAACTGCGCGACAAGGTCCGCGAGTGGCTCGCGGGCGCCGAGCCGGAGTACCTCACCGAGCCACTCAATGGCTTCTTCCGGAAAATTGTTTGGCAGGAGCTGACTAAGGATCACAGCGAAACTCTGGGCACAGAGTACCACCCGGCCTTCATCATCGAAACGGTGCGACCACCCCCGCGCCCCCACGCCCTCGCCTCCCCGCAACCCCGCCCGCGAGCCGTCGATTTCAAGCGCAGCAAACTCCCCCCCCCCACGCCGCCGACTCCCACGCCCGCGCCACGCCCCTGCGCGGAGCTCACGTCGCGGCGCACGCGGAGCTCCGACGCCCTGCGCGCAGGTGCCCTCGGACAACTGGCGGGCGCCGATGCGGTTTCTCCGCGCCACGCCGGCGGAGGTCGCCGCGCACGAGGCCGCGAAGGAGCGCGAGTGGTTCGACGGGATCCACGCCAAGGCGGGCTTCTCGTGCGTCCTCGAGCTCATCCGGGACTCGAACCTCCCCGTCGTCGGCCACAACATGCTGTTCGACCTCATGTTCGTCATGAACGACTTCGTGCAGTCGCCGCTGCCGCCCTCGTGGGCCGGGTTCCGGCAGCTCACGCAGGAGTACTTTCCCGCGGGGGTGTACGACACCAAGTACTTGGCCAAGAACGACCTGTTCGATGTGTTCGGGTACGACAGCGGGCTGGCGGACGCGTATGCGACGGCGGTGGGGGCGGCGCGGGAGGAGGAGACGGAGCGGTGGTTCCACGCCGCGGAGCACGGATGGGCGCCCGGCGCGGGCGAGCAGGACGGCGAGGCGCGCCAGGCGGAGCCGGTGACGTGGCGGCGGCCCAAGGTGGAGCACGGGAAGGCGTACAAGAGGTACCAGGACCTGGAGGGCGGGGCGCTGGCGCACGAGGCCGGGTACGACGCGTACATGACCGCGGTGGTGTTTGCGTTCAGTTTGCGGCTGCTGGATGCCAAGCGCACGGGGCAGGGCACGAAGGCGGCAACCAAGACGATGGGGGGGATGCTGGGGGGCACGGGTGCGGCGCGGGAGGTCAAGGGGCGCGTGGCGGTCGTGGGGACGGACTACCCGTGCTTCGCGGTGTCGGGGGAGCAGCCGCCGGTGGACCGGTCACACGTGGTGGTGGTGTACGACAACGGCGGGCAGGTCAACTCGAAGGACGTGATGCCGACGGTGCACGGGCTCAAGGTCGGGCGCGTGTTCCCGACGGCGCGGAAGGACGGCACGGCGCTGTATTTGTCGCTGGCGCCAGGAGAGGTGCGATGCTGTGCCGCGTGCTTTGGGGTGTTTACTTGCGTGCATTGCGTGCGTGCGCGGGTGCTGTGGCGTGCGTGGAGGGATGCTGCGTTGCTGCGGTCGTTGCGCATGGCTGTGGCTGGGCGCTTCGTGCCTGCGCGCCGCCGTTGAGGCGTGCTGCTGCCGCTTGCGTGGTTGCTCCTGTTGCGTTGCGGCTGTTTCGGGACGCCGCTCGCCTCGCAGACGCGGGGCGGAAAATGGCACGTATGAAATACAGACGCGAGCGATTGAAGGAACAGAGAAATAATAATAAACATAGACAAATAAGAAGGGCAAAAGCGATGCATTCAGCCGCTGATCGACGCTGCCGCCCACCTCCCCGCAGGACCTCGCGCCCGAGACGTTCTACCAGAAGGTCCGCGGCGCGTCCTTCTCGGCCCTGACGCCCTCCCACGAGGTCCTGACGTGGACAGAGTTCGAGAGTCGAGTCCTGGCCCCGCGCCTGAGCGCACAGGCCGCGGGCCTGACGTACACCCCGCCCACGCCGTCCGTCATGGCCGACCTCGGCGCCACCGCGCGCGCGGAGGTCGCCGCGGCCGCGGCGCGCGCGGCGGCGGCCGCGAAAGCGCTGTCTTCGTCGCAACACGAGGGCAAGCAGGCAACGGAGCGGAGGCCGTCGCCGTCGACGCACGTGACGCTGCCGGGCACGCCGGACCCGGGCGAGGCGCCGCCGCCGCCGGTCGAGGAGCTCCGGCGCCCCACGCGCCGCAAGCGGCCGCCGACCCAAGATGGGGGGGACTAGGTGTGTGCTGACGAAAGGGGGGGGAGTCGGCTTGTGACGCCGCGGTGGACTCGACTCCCGCGCGGCGGCCTGATTGTGCAACGACGGGGACGGCTCCGGCGCCTGTCTACGAGCGTCCAGGATCATTCAGAGAAGAGAGAGACACCTATTTGAACGAGAAGACAGAGAACCACGGTACTGCGAGTTTGCTTCCTTTCTTCTCTTGAGGTTGTTGACTAGAGAGGGTCGAAGCCCCGGAGCCCCGTCTGACCGACTCCGCAGTCGTCGTGGAGGATGGACGGATGGCTACGCGGGCCGCAGCCCACGAAAGTTTCCGGTGTTGTGTCAAACGTAACAAGCGCAGCCAGGAACGAATCGACGCCCGCTCCCGACGCATCGCTGCCAGCCAGCCAGCCCGACGCTCCGAGGGCCTCGCCGCTCCTCCAGCATCCACGTCAGCGTCGCCCGCGTCCCCGCAACGCGCGGAACCTCCGCTGCTGCTGGCTGCCTCTACACGCGCTCTCTCATCCTTTCCGACCCCGTCCGCGCCCGCGGTGCCGCGCGCCGCCACGCCACCCACCGCTCCGGCCCTCCCCGCCCCCATCCTCCTCGACCACCACTCGCCGGTGCTTCTGCTTTCCCTGCCCGCCACCCTCTCTCTCGCCGTCCTCCTCCATGCGGCGCTTCCCACGCCCCCCGCGCCCCGCACGACCCTTGCCCCGCCCGCCACGGCCTCCACGCCGCTCCCCGGGCGCGTCGCCGTCGCCGTCGCCGTCGTCGTCGGACACGTCAGGCAACGCCATGTCGTCCACGTTGTTCCCCGCAGCCGCGTCGCCGCGCCCGCGGCCGCTCGCGCCCTGCTTCCGCGGCCCGGAGCCGTGAGCGGACCCGTTCTGGCCGCCTCCCTCGTCTGCTGCACCCTCCAGTGCGATTCTGTCGCCAAGCACCCACCGCGAACCCCCAGGGGCGGCGCCAGCGCCCTTGCCGCGCTGCTGCGCCTGCTGCCCGCGACCCTGCTGCGCCTGCTGCCGCTGCGGCGCCGGCGCACCCTGGCCGCGCGGCGCGGCGTGACGGGCCGCCGCCTGCGGCGCACCTGTGCCCTTCTGGCCCGGCTCCGGCTGGCTCGACGAAGGGGCCCAAACGATGGGGGCGATCTTGCGCGCCGGCTGGCCCTTTGCGTCGCCGGCCGGGCCGCTCGACTTGCCGCCCTCCGCCTCTCTGCCCGCCTGACTCGCGCCTTGACCCCCCCCGTCACCTTTTGAGTCCTGCTGCGGCGGCGGCGGCCTTGCGGGGGCGTCGGCGTCGCGCACGCCCGCGCGGGCGTTCCCGCCGCCGCTCGGCTCGCGCGCGCCGCGGGCCTGCCGCCGGGGGTCGTCTCGCCGGTCCGACCTGCCCCGCCAGGCCCCCCGGCCTGTTCGCGCGGCGGCGATGGCCCCCTCGGCTCTCCCCCGCGCGGGACCCGCGCCGGCGCGCGAGGGTCGCGCGACGCCGGTGGAATCCCCCGCGCACCGTCAGCCCCGATGTCACGCGGGCGCCCTGACCGCGGCGACGACGCACGCCCCAGCGGTCGCGCTGCCGCGCCGCCGCCTCCTCGCGGCGCGGCGACGGCGCGCGGCGCCCGGACGACCCGCTCACGTCGCGCTGCGCTCCTCGGCGCGGCGGTGCCGCGTAAGGATCCCACGGGCCCCGTCCACCCGCACTCGAGTCCCCGCGACCCCCCCCCTCCGACCCCCCGGCGCGCGTGGGCCGCGGCGACGGCGCGCGAGGGTCATCTGGTGCAGGAGGCATCGCGGCCCTTGCGTCGTGAGCGTCCCGCGCCCGATTTCGCGGTGACGCCGGGCGGCGGCCCGTCGACCCGCTCGGCGCATCGCGCTGCGCCGTGCGCCGCGGCGGTGCCGCGTACGGGTCCCACGGTCCCTGCCCTGCGGCGCCCGCGGACCTCGACTCCTCGCGGCCGCCCTCGCCCGTGCCACCGTCGCGCGGGGGCCGCGGCGAAGGAGCGCGCGGGTCGCGCGACGCGGCGCCTCCGATGTCGCGAGACCGTGTCCGCCGCGGCGACGGTGCGCGCGGGTCGCGCTCCCCCGCCGGCTCCTCGCGGCGGCCGCCCGAGCTGCCAGGTGCGTCGCGCGCGCGCGCGGGGCGGTGCTCCTGCGAACGGGTCCCAGGACGCCTGGCGGCCCGGGTGGACAGATCGCGGTGCGCGCGCACCGGGGACGGCGCGCGGCGCTCCGGGCCGCCCTCTGGTGCGCGCGCGCCGCCTACGTCCCTCCTAGGCGACGGCGCGCGCGGATCCGGCGCGCGGCGGTCCGGGTCGCCCTGTGACGCGGCGCTGGAGCACGTGCGCTGCCCACGTCCCTGCGAGGCGACGGCGCGCGCGGGTCCGGTGCGGCGGTCCCTGCCGTCGCGTCGCGACGCCGCAGCGTCCGGGCCGAGGCGGGCCGCCCGGTGGTGGCGGCCCCGGGAGCGGCGGCCGGGGGCGCGTCGTCGTGCGGGCTGCGGCCGCGCGGTGGCGGGCCTGGGAGCTCCGGCGGGCCTGGAAGCGGCGGCGGCGGCGCGCGCGGGTTCGGCGGGCCGGGAAGGCTCGGCGGGCCCGGGAGCGGGGCGCTCCGCGCGCCGGGGGGGCGCGGCGACGGCGTGCGTCCAGGCTGGTGTGCCGGTGGCGAGCTCCTCCGCCGCGTGCGCGCAGGGGCCGGGGACGGTCCGCGCGGGCGACGCGGCGGCGGGGACGGCGATCGCCCGCGCTGGCGCCGCGGCGGCGGCTCCGTGCGGTCCACGAGCGGCGGTGGCGGGCGCTTGTTGCGCGCACCGCGCCCAGGGCCGCGCTCCCGCCTGGGAGCGGGATCGGGGGCCGGCGCTGGGCTGGCGGGGCGCGCGCGAGGCGGGGATGGTACGGGGGACCCGTGCGGCGTGCCGACGCTGCTGGTCGGGCTCGGAGTCGCGATGGCAACCACGCCTTCGTCGTAGGGGTCGAAGTCCTGCTCAGGGGGGGTGTTTTTCCGGGTCGCGCGCACGCGTTCCTGGCTGTTCCTGTGACGTTCTTTGATGTCCGCGAGTGGCTTGTCGTCGTCGTCGGACTGCCAGCCGCCGGCGCCCGCTCTCGCTGTGGCGGGCGGGCTGGTGGAGCAGTCGGCGCCCCGTGTGCGGCCGCCCACGGGGGTCGCGGGCGCCGGTTCGTCGCCGATGAGCGCGAAAAGGTCCTGCGGTGAAGCGTGGGAGGTGACGTGCGGCTGAGGAGACGACCCTGCACGTTGGAGACCCAGGCTGCTGAAAGCACGGATCGACGTCGCCGCCGAGGAAGCTATCTGACACGCCGCGGCTCACGCGTCAGTCTAAGCTCTCTCCGCCCCTTGGCGACGCCGGACGTGCGCGTGATGCCCGGAAGTCCAAGAAAATGCGCGCACAACATTCCGCAGTCTCTGTCCCACGTCTCTGCAGGGCTGGCGCTGGCCCTCTCCGCGGCCAGACCGCCGCGCCGCCCTCCCTGCGATCGCAGGCGCCAGGCCCGTGCGACCGCCGCCGTTTTCCACCGCAGCATCAGCCGCCCCGCGCCCTCCCGCTCTCTCACCTCTGCAGGCTCGTCATAGTCTCCCGCCCCCCAGTCAATCGGATCCTCCTCCGCCATCGCGCCGCTCCGCCCCCGCTCTCAGCCCAGCTCGCTGCGGCGCGCTGCCGCGGCCCTCGCGCAGTGCAGCCCACTCGCCCTGCTGAGAGACCCAACCCAAGCAAGATCCCGGGGCGTAGGCACGCTGCCAGACGTCCGAGCTGTACGGGCCGCGAGTGCTGCGCCCTGTACGTGCGCCGCCGCGGCGGCCCGCCGCCCGTTCGAGCCCCGACCGCGTCGCACCGGTGACGGGGGTAGTGCCTAGGAGGGCGTCTGACGTCGCCGTGCGTCAGCGCGGACGAGCGCGGGCGGGGTCTTCGGCCCAGGGACGCGCAGGCATCTGCACTTGCCAGGAGGGGTTCCCGATCGTGGACTAGCGTCGCGGCAACCGACCGTCGGCGGGGTGAAGCACCCTGGACCCTCTAGGCGCGCGTGTCGTTCGCTGCGAGGGGTGCTCGCGGCCACGGACGCGCGGGAGCCTTCTTCATCGCACAGGGCGTCCCGTCTGCGTAGATCTGCATTGCGAGCGCGCGTGACGGGCGTGTGGGGGCCGCCATGAGGACTGACGGGCCTTCACGGCGGGCGGGCCGCATGCAGCTGCTCGAGGGCCAAAAGATGCACGCGCTCAAGGACAAGGGCGTCCTCAGCACCGCCGTGGTGCGTGATCCACGGCCCACCCACCACGTTCCCCGTGCACACACATCCTGGCAGCGACCTGCAGCCCCTCACCGCGGCTCGCTTCCGCACCCCGCGCGTTCCCGGCGACTCCCGCGCCGTGCAACCCCCCCGCGCACCACAGCATCGCCGCGCCCCCGCGTTCCGCGCGGCGCCGTTCCCCCACGAACCCGCACTGCCAACCGCCCGCGCACGCACCGACCGCGCCACTCCGCCTCCGCTGCTGCGCCCGCAACCGCCCACGAGCCCTCCGAGCAGCACGTTCCTGCATGAGACCCTATTTCGGCAGTATTTCGATCGCGACGTCCCTCGGTGCGCCGCAGGACGACGACGGGATTGTGCACCTGGAGTGGAAGCGGCGCGGGAAGCCCGGGGACGCGTCGGGCGGCGCCGAGGAGCTGTCTGCGGCGATCGCGCCCGGGGAGGCGCACGCGGACTGGGTCGGGAAGCCGGAGTCGCGCGTGCTCGCGGTGCGGTTCCCGGACGACCAGAAGCGAGACCTGTTCTTTTGGATGCAAGAGAAGAAGGCGGAGGAAGACCAGGAGTTCCTGAGGCAGGTGAGACTGAGGGGGCGAGGACCACGGCGCGCGCAGTGCGAGAGCCGCCTGGACGCGCGCACGCGCAGTTGAGGATCCTCGAATGGTTTTCTTTCAGTGCTGGCGTGACTGACGCGCTGCGGTGGACGTCCTCGCACCGCTCGCCGCGGTGCTCGTTGCGCGCGCGATCAGGCCACGCGGGACGCGTTCGTGCAGCTCACAGCGTACACGCGCGTCGACACATATGTGTCCTTGAGTGTGGTTGCGCTGCACCAGTCGAGGCAGCGCCTCACCGCTCCGCCCGCGTTCCCGCACCGCGCAGCTCAATGTGGTCCTGCGCGGCGACGCAGTCGACAGCCCGGTGCAAGCCAGCGGCGCCGCGGGCGGCTCGCAGCAGCAGCGTGCGGCGTCGGAGGCGGCCGGGGTGGCCCTGGCGCGCGGGCTCGCGGAGGCGATGCAGAACGCGATGCGGCAGCGCAGCGGCGGCGCGCAGCCGCAGCGGCGCGCGCCCACGCCGGCGCACGCCCCCGTGCTGCCGGACGGAAGCCTTGGGCTCGCCCAGGTTCGAACATTGCTCAACAGTCGTTTCCTTGCTGAATCAAATACAACACAATGATCACGATTCGTTTCTAAATCAAACACGCCCTCTTCATAGATCTGTGCGCTGCGGTGCGAGCGACGCTCGAGCCGCTGCAACCAAGGCTCGCGCGCGCGCAGCACTTGAGATGTACAGATCATCGTTGCGTCGTTGCAGCGCTGGCAACTGGCCCGGCACCCGCCGCACGCCCTCCGCCTTCGAGCAACGGAAGCACCACTCGCGCGGCGCCCCACCCGTCCCCGCAGGCGCTCCGCAACGTCGTCCGCAAGCACCAGGCGCAGCAGCGCTCCCAGCGCGGGCCCTCGCTCTCCGAGCTCCTCCCAACGAGCCTCCTCCAGGCCAGCTTCGAGGACGACAGCATCCGCGACCGCCTCACGCCGTTCCTCCCCGAGGAGCACCGCAGCCGCTCCCCCGCGCGGCAGCTGCGCGAGCTCGCCACCAGTCCCTACTTCCGGCAGCAGCTCAACAGCCTGAGCGCGGCGATGCACTCCGGCATGATCGATCCCGCGGCGTTCGGGCTGCCGCCTGGCACGGGCTTCTCCGCGGCGGACATCCTTGCGGCGCTGGAGCGGGTGGCAGAGGAGGAGGCACAGGCCAGGGGGGCGGGGGGTGGGGGGGGTGCGGGGCCGGGGGAGGGCGGGGGCGGGGACGGCGCGGGCGGGGACGGCGCGGGGGGGGGCGGTGGCATGGAGACGGACTGAGTGCTCCCGCGCGGCACGGTGTGGTGAGGGAGGGGTGTGTGTGCGCAGGGGGCAATAAGTGGCATCGTTGTCTCTGTGGGCTCGGGCTGGGTGTTTGAGGGCCACGGTGGTGCGCCTTGGCGTGGAGGTGGGCGGAGGGGGCATGCGTGGCAGGGCAGGGGGGGGGAGTATGCTGCTGACTCGACTGCAGTGTGACTGGGCGGAAACGCGCGGAAACGGAAACGGAAACGGAAACGCGCGGGGGTGTGACCCTGACTCAGTCCAACCTCACGCGCGGCCCCGGGGGGACTCGGCCCGCAGACGCCCTCGGCGCACAAGCCCTCGCCGCCGCCTCCACCTCGGCCAGACCGCTCGACGACGCCTCGCAGCGCCCGCACCGTTCGCCGCCTTTCTTCCGCACCAGAGTGCTTCTCTTGCGCCACCTCACCGAGCAGCCATGGCCGCCCAGATCGCCCGCACGGTGGCCTGTGCGTCGACCGCGGTCGCGCGCAGCGCCCGCCGCTCCCGCGCCGCCCCCGTCCACGCCGCGCGCGCCCTCGCCCAGCGTGCCGCCATGACCGGGTCCTCCCTCCCCGCCGCGCGGGCCCCCCGCGGCGCGCGCGCGACCGTGCGCGCGGCCAGCGACGTCGTCGCGTCCGCTGAGGGCCCCGTCGCCATCGTGACCGGCGCATCGCGCGGCATCGGCCGGTGAGCCCCCGCCCGAGCACCCGCGCCGCCGCCCCTCGCTGTCTCGCGCCCGCCGAGCGCGCCTGCCGCACCGCAGCGCGGCTCATGCGGCCCATTGCGCAATCGGCGGCCCGGAGCGTCGCGGCAGCGCCGCGAGAGCCCCATCGAACGCGCCACGTTGCGCCGGCCGGGCCTCGCCCAGGCTCTTGCCTGCTGGGCATGGATCATGCCGGGTGTTGCGGGACATACGTGCCCACACCGCGGGATTTTCTTGGCTGTTGCGGTTACTGGTGGTACGAGAGCTGCGTGTGCGCAGCTCTGTGGTGTTTGCTGCGCCGACGCGGCGCTGCATGCCGCTTCCCTGAGGCACAGCATCAGCGGCGTGCCCGTGCGCGGTCTGTGGTTTCGGTGCAGGAGCGTGGCTCTGGAGCTCGCGAAGCACGGCTGCCGTGTCCTGGTGAACTACGCCGGCAACGAGGAGGCCGCCAACGCCACCGCTGCGGACTGCAAGGCGGCCGGCGGCGACGCCATCACCTTCAAGGCCAACATCGCCAGCCAGGTGCGCCTCACCGCCGATGCGTCGCTCCAGCGTGACCTTCCGCACACCACGAGTGCTGCACGAGAGGGTTTCGTGTATCTTATACGCTGTTCCGAGTTGGTGATCGGTTTCTGTCTTGTTCTCGACATTCCAACCGCATCCCGTTTGTTCGTTGACCGACGTCCGCGCGCAGGAGGAGGTGCAGTCGATGTTCAAGGCCGCGATGGACGAGTGGGGCCGCGTGGACGTGGTGGTGAACAACGCGGGCATCACGCGCGACACGCTGATGATGCGCATGAAGCCCGACATGTGGAACGACGTGATCAACACCAACCTCACGGGCGTCTTCTACTGCTGCCAGGAGGCCACCAAGATCATGCGCAAGCAGCGCGCCGGCCGCATCATCAACCTCGCCTCCGTCGTGGGCCTCGTCGGCAACGTGGGCCAGGTGCGCCCCCACGCCGCGCGCGCGGCCCCCGAGCGCGCTCCCGGCCGCTAGCGGGGGCGCTCATCACTATGTCTGTCGCTGCGTTGCGCGCAGGCCAACTACTCGGCGGCCAAGGGCGGCGTGATCGCGCTGACGAAGACGGTGGCGCGTGAGTTTGCGGGCAGCGGCATCACGTGCAACTCGATCGCGCCGGGCTTCATCAAGTCCGACATGACGGCCAAGCTCTCGGACAAGGTCGTCGACGAGGTCCTCAAGGTGCGCGCCCGCGCCTCACCCCGTAGCCCGCACAACCAACCGACACACATGCGTGGGAGGTGTCGCAGTGCGCTGCAGCGGGCCGGGACCGGCGTTCCCGGCAGCCGACGCGCTGCTCGGAGCCTCGGACTGCGTCTAAGCAGCGTCGGGGTGCCGCGGCGCGCTCCGATCCGTGACTGGAAATAATGCGCCTCTAAGTGGTTGTGTGTGGTTGCAGACCATCCCGATGGGCCGCATGGGCGAGCCGGAGGAGATCGCCGGCATCGTGCGGTTCCTCGCGATCGACCCCTCCGCGGGGTACCTCACGGGGCAGTGCCTGTCCCCCAACGGCGGCATGGTAATGTAAAAGACACACAGACTAGGCCTCCCCACCCCGAACAAGTCATTTCCGGCACTGCTGTCCCGCGCCGTGCGCGTACGAACCGGCTCGGCGCCCGACCCACCGCATTGTGTCCCGAGCGTCACAACGTGTCCGTCAGACATACGACCGCTGGAGCGTGTTGACCAGTTTGTTGAACTGGCGGCGGAAGAGCTCCTCCTCGCGCAGGCCCGCGCTGAGCGTCGAGCGCACGTCGTCCACGATTGACCGGAACGCCGACGACAGCGTCTCCAGGGCCTGCACGTACGCGCGGATGCACGCGCGGTGCACGGGGGTGTCCAGCCCCTCGACCTGCAGCGGCACGTTGCCCTCGTCCTCCTCCTCCTCCTCCTCGTCCTCGTCGTCCTCGTCGTCGTCGTCGAGCGGCCGCGCCATCGACACGTCCTCCTCGCCCCACCCGATGGCGCCCGGCGAGATGCTCCCGTGCTCCAGCTCCCACGTCCGCCGCACCAGCCCGCGCTCGTTCGCCTCCTGCCCCGTCCCGCCCGACCCCGCGTCCGCCTGCGCCAGCGCCAGCCGCTTCAGCTGCTTGATGTTCATCCGCGTCCGCGGCGCCGGCGCCCCGGGCTGCGCCACCCCCACCGACGAGTGGCTGGCCTCCGCCTGCACCGCCGCCGCCGCCGCCTGCGTCATCGTCCGCTTCAGGCCCCCCGTCGCCTCCGCCGCCGCCACCGCGTCCTCCTCCCCCTCGTCGTCCCCGCGCGCCTCCCGCAGGTCCCCGGGAACGATGATCCCGTCGCAGATCCGCGCCAGGCCGCGCGCGAGCAGCGCGAGCCGCCCGCGGATGATCGGCCCCGCGCGCGAGAGCGCCTCGATGGAGTTCCGCGCCCGCGCCTTCATGGACTCGACGCTCGTCTCCGCGCGCGCCGACTCCTCCTCGACCAGCTCGTCCACCAGCGGCTGGCAGTTGGGCTCCCCGAGCTGCGGCCGGATCGCGAGCCGGTGCTGCTCGAGCTCGTTGCGCAGCTGCTTCTGTCGCGACGCGTACCGGCTGTCCATCTGCACGCCACGACGCACGCACGCACGCACGGGATTTGAGTAATGCGCCGGGCAACACACACGTGAGAGCGAGCGCGGCGCGGGGGCGGGGCGCGCTTCGCTCCGCTGCGCACCTTCTGGGCCTGCCGGATGTACTCGCGCGTGTCGTGGTAGATGAGGGCGCGCGCGGCGGCGCCCGGGAGCGCGAGCAGCTGTCGGTTGATGGAGATGATCTGATCGCGGAACTCGAGCAGGCTCTCCTCGAGGTGCCGCCGCAGGCGCCCGCGGATGTCGTTGAGGATGCGGTTGTTGACCTCGTTGAGCTCGTCGAGCTCGCGCGGGATGCGCTTCGGGCGCGTGATGGCGCGTTCGGGGTCCTTGCTCTCGTAGTAGGCCTGCGCGACCGGCGCGCACTGCTCGTGGCAGCGCTCGATGAGCTCGTGCACGCGCACGCGCACCGTCACGCCCTCGAGCTCCTCGCGCGTGATGCCGAGCTTCTCCAGCGACAGCCCGCCCTGCGTCCACTCGCTCTCCGCGTCGTTCTGGTCCTCGTCGTCCTCGAACGGCGGCTCCGTGTTCTCGCCCTCGATCCACGGGCGGAAGAGGTTGACCGGAATGTCGATGCCGTCGCGCACCGCGTCGAGCGTGCGCCCGCGCGACGCCACCAGCACGCGCAGGCGGTTCGAGCAGTCCACGAGGTCCTGCGCGAGCTCGTGCCCGCCGTGGTTGCCCTCGGCGGCCAGCTTCGGCCCCGGCGTGCGCTCCGCGAACTTGGCCTCCGCGTCCTCGGGCCGCACGCGGATCAGCTTGCGCATCGTCTGGATCTCCTGCGTGATGCGCCGTGCGTGCTCCTCGCTGGCGCTGAAGATCTTGTCCGCGCGGCTCCGCGCCGCGTTGATCGCGCGATCCAGCGCCTCCACGAGCGCCAGGTCCTCCTTGTGCACCTCCGCCACGCGCCCGAGCTGCTCCACCGCCGCGCCGGCGCTGGCGGCCATCTCCTTCTGCAGCTCCTCAACCTTGGCCAGCTGCGCCTCCATCTTCAGCCGCACCACCGTGTTGCAGTCCTCCAGCTGCGCCTTGTACCGCCGGATGTTGGCCTCCGCGAACTCCCCCCCCTCCTCGAACGGCACCAGCACCTCGGCGGCAAACCGCTCGTTCACCGCCTTCAGCCGCGCCGCGTCCTCCTCCGCCGACGTCGACAGCATCAGGCACGCCTGCTCCAGCGCGCGCTCCAGCACGCCCTGCTGCTGCTGCGCCTCGCGCACGCGGATCTCCACGCTCTTGACCGACATGTCCACGTTCAGCGCGCCCTCCTGCTGCCGGAGGCGCCGCAGCAGCCGGTCGATCTGGTGCCGCCGCTCCTCCACCGCGCCCTCGAACCGCGCGCACTGCGCGAGGATGCTCCGGCCCATCCCGCGCAGGTGCGCGTCCACGCTGCGCTTCTGCGCCAGGAGCTTGACCGACCGCTGCTGCCGCACGTCCTCCTCGATCAGCCCCGCGCGCGGGCGGTGCGACCGGAGCAGCTCGTCGAGCTCCTCGGTGAGGTCCTCGGCCTGCTTGCGCGCCCACGCGGCCACCTCGGAGTTCACCTCGGCCGTGAACTGGCACATGTCGCCCAGCGCGGAGCACGTGAGCGACACCAGCGCCGTCCGCACGCGCTCCGACGGGATCGTCAGCACCGCCAGGCACGCCTCGCCGCTCTGCAGCGTCGGCGGGTCCGCCCACTTGCTCCCCTCGTCCGCCGCGGGCGCCTCCTCCTCGCCCTCCCCCTCCGCCGCGCCCTCCGCCACGCCCTCCGTCACCGCCGCCGGCACCCCCTCCCCCTTCTTCCCGGGCTTGACGCTCGGCTGCGGCTTCAGGCTGCCCTGCTTCCGAATGCTCTGCTGCGGCTTGAGACTCCCTTGCTTCTGAATGCTCTGCTGCGGCTTGAGGCTGCCCTGCTTCTGGATGCTCTGCTGCGGCTTGAGGCTCCCGGCCGCCGGCGCCTCCGCGGACTCCGTGGCCTCCAGCGTGGACTGGCTGTCCTCCTTGCGCGGTTCGACGCCCAGGATGACGGCGTCGTACAGGTCCTGCGCGCACGTCCAGAAGCCGCCGTCGGCCGCCTCGACCTCGGCCAGGAAGACCTCGGGGGGCGGCGGGGGCTCCGCGGGCGCCGCGTCCTCGCCCTCCGCGCCCTCCTCGCCCTCGGCGGGCTTGGCGTCGTCGGCGGGCTTGTCCTGCGCCGCCTCGCCCTCCGCGGCGCTCTCGCCCTGCTCGGTCCCTGCGGCGTTGCGGGGACGCGTGGCGAGCGGCGCGGTGAGGAACCAGAGCGGCGAGGAGCAGATGCGGGTGCGGTGTGGCCGCATTTGTGAACATAGAGCGCTTTGCGCGTTGGGAGCGCACCGCTCTGCTTCTTGTCGGCGTCCGCGGCGTCCCCGGGCGTCTCGACCTTGGGGTTGACGCGCAGCTTCCCGCACAGCGAGAGGTGGTAGGTCCGGAACTCGTCGTCGATCGACCGCGGGAGCGCGTCGACGATGCTGCACATGTTGCTGTGGAAGTCCCGGTAGCTCCCCTCGATCGAGTTCAGGTGGTCCAGCGCCACCTGCACCAGCTGGTCCAGGTCCCGCTCCGACGACCCCTCCTGGATGTCCCGGATCGCCTGCGCGAGCGCCTCCTCGACCTGCTTGTCGCTGTCCTCGAACGCACGCCGCGTCATGGCCAGCACGTACGCGTTCTTCTCGCGGATCTTCGCCACCTGCGCCCGGTGGTCGTCCTGCGCCGTGCCCACGTCGCACAGCAGCCCGCCCAGCGCGTCGATGCACTTGCGCCACGTGCGGACCTGCCCCTCCAGGTACCCGCGCACGTGGTCCAGCAGCGCCCGCGCCGCGTCGCGCCGCCCGCGCAGCGCGGGCTCCACGTCCGCGTCGAACCGCGCCGCGCACGCCTCCCCGCTCCGCAGGAACCCGAGCGCCATCACCTCGCCCTCCAGCTCGCGCTTGAGCTCCTGCGCGCGCTGCTCGACGGCCGCCTCGTTGGCCTCGAGGTCGTCGACCATGGCGCCGAACTCGACCTCCCACCCGCCGATCAGCCGCTGCGCCTCCTCGAGCCACTCGAAGCACGCCTCCCCGCACAGCGACGCCGGGAGCGACGCCGCCGCCACCACGTGGTTGGTGATGCGCTCAAACGTGCCCTCCTGCGCGGCGCGCGCGCGCGAGCTGCTCGACGCGCTCGCGCGGCTCCGCGAACTCCTGCGAGCGGATCCGCGCCACGAACCGCCCGATCGCGTGCTTGGTGCGCAGCGAGCGCCACCGCTCCATCGAGCCCTCCCACGTGCGGCGCGACTGCTCCTCGAGGCCGACCTCGCGCGCCTTGAGGCGCTGCAGCAGCGACGCAGCCGCGCGCCGGTCCCGCAGCAGCGCCAGGTTCATCTCGAGCGCCTCCGTCTCCATCATGCGCTCGACCGCGCCCTCCGACGCGTGCGCGATCGACATCAGCGCCGCCAGCGTGTCCAGCATCAGCGCCTCCTGGTCCGCGCGACGCCGCGCCTCCTCCTCCTGCGACGGGACAGCGGGGCAGCGCGGGGCGTGAGCGCGGGGCGACGCAGCGAGGCGAGGTGCGTGCGTGTGCGCTCGTGTGTGCGTGTGCGGTGGACGCGCCTCCAGGAGGTTGCCGAGCTCCGCGATGGCCTTCTCGCGCTGCCGCAGCACGCTGTTGAGGTCGTCCCACGCCCCGTGCACGCTCCCCTCGTCCAGCATCATGAGCTGCTCGTCGTCCGTGAGCCGCGCACAGTTCCTGTCCAGCTCCGCCCCCATCGCGTCCAGCTCCGACCGCGACGCCTGCAGCGCGCTCGCGATCCGGTCCTGCACGCAGCCACGACGCGGGGCGCGCGGACGTCACGTCACCGCGCACGTCACGCCCCCGCCACCACGCACCCAGCACCTCCCCGCCGCGCCCGCCGCGCGCGCCCCCGCCGCCCGCGGGCCACTCACCCGGTGCGTATCCTCGACCTCGCCCCGCTGCTCGAGGTACACCCGCCACGCCCGGTCGTGCCGCGCGGCCTTGGACCGCTCCATGTCGTGCACGCCCTCCATCCACGCTTGCGCGGCCGGGACCTGCGTCAGGAGGCTGCGGGTCTCCGCGCGGACGTCCCCGAAGATCGTCATGTCCGGCGCGCGCGAGTGGTTCGCCTGCATCTTCGGGAGCTTCATCCTGCGCGCACCGCACGCCGCTCGCAGGCGGTCACGGGCCCGGCGCCGCGCGGGGGCGCGCGCGCGGGCTGGGACGCCCCGCGCGCGCGGCTGCGCGGTCAGCGCAGGCGTGCGTGGGGCGCGGCGGCCCGGGAAGGCGCGGGAGCGGCCGCGCGCGCAGGGCTCGGCGCCGCGCTGCCTGGGGGCCCGGCACATGCCACGCGCCCCGGGGCGCCGGGGCGTCGCGCGCGGGCGCTCTCCGGCGGCGCGGGGCGTCGACTGGCGCAGTTCGCGGGCCGGGAGCGCACTTCGCGGTGTGAATGGCCGATATCTTGCTCGTGCGCGTCCTCGGATGGTTGAGGCTCTTGAGCAGGAACTGCCCAGGCGTGACGAGCGCGCCCATGTCGGGCGTGGGGAAGAAGCGCCCGGCGAGGTTGAAGTCCTCGTCCACGGGGCCCTCGTCGACCGCGCCGTCGCGGCTGGCCCCGCGGACCTCCACGGGGACCTGGTCGTTCAGCATGGTGGTGCCAGCGGGCCGGGCCCGCGACCCCCTCCGGCCTGCTCGGCGCCCGCTCGGAGAGGGTCCGTGCTGCGCGGACCGCGCGCGCGGCGAGGCGCTCGCCCCTCAGCGATGCGTCCGCGGGCTCTGAGGTCGACGCGCTGTTGCGGGCTCTCGTGCCGCCTGCACCGCGTTGCTCGGCCACCTGACGGCCCTAGTGCGCTGCTATCGAGCGCGAGTGCTCCCTCGCAGGCCCCCGGGCACCCGACGTAGCCGCTCGACGCGCCCGCGTGGAGCTCTCCGGTGCGGTAGAACAGCCGGCTCTCGAGAGGCCCCGAACGGGCGCCGCGGGGGGTATTGCGGGGCTGGACGGCCGCGAGCACGCTGTGAGGTGACGCTGAGGTGCGCGGAGAGCCAGTTCCACGCAAGCCCTGCGCAGCTGAGAGGCCGAGAGTCTAGCCCAGGTGGGTGGTTGGTCGCGGTCCGTGCGTGCAGCTCCAGCGGTGTCGCTCCGCCTCCTCGCGCTGGCGGTGTGTGCTGGGAAGGAACTCGCCCTGCAGCGCTCGGCGACGGTGTCCGTCCACGACAGCGGTGCACGACCCGTCTGGCACGCAGGGCGTTTGAACGGGGAGGGGGGTGAGCGCTCCGGGGCGGCGATGCGCCGTCTGGCAGGATGAGATTGCTGAGTCTCGGTGAGATGCGCGCAACGCGCGCCGGTGTCGACTTATGTGCAGATCACCCGCGGCCGCTGAATGCCGTGCGGGGGCACGCGGCGACCCGCGCTCCGACGCGACGGCACTGCGCGCGTGCACCGGGGTCCCCGTGCGCGAGCCGCCGCCGTCCCGCGCGCACCGCAGGGCAGGTGGCGCTCCTCGCCAGGGAGCACAAGTGCCTGAACTTCGCACAACGCGCGGTCGGGGCAAGCTCCAGCGACTCTTCGCGGCGATGCAGGAAGCGGCGCACGTGCCCGAGGCGCTGCGCTACTTCGCGCGCGGCGACTTCGTGCGCAGCAAACAATCACTCAATCGACCGCGCAGCAAGCAGGCGACCTTCACAGCAGTGGCGCGCTACCTACGGACACACGCACCGCCCTCCCGCGATGCCCGCGGCCGGGCTCCCCGCGAAGATCGACTTGATGTACACGACGCGGCCGCCCGTGGGCACTCCGTCGATCTCGGTCTCCCTCTCCCAGCAGCTGGGGCCTGCAGCGGCGATCGGCACCGACGGCGCTCTCGTCAGGACACAAACTGCCGCGGCGCGACAACGTGCGTGGAAGGCGCGGCGGGGCGCTCACTTCCGCGCCTGGTGCAGGTTCCGCACGTCGGGGGCCCTCCGCGGCCGCAGCACGCCAGCACGGCCCCCGTGCAGTCGCTGACGCACTTGTCCAGGCTGAGGTCGAGAGCCATGGCCTGCGTGCGGCTCGTGGCGCGCCCGCCGTCCTCCGCGACCGCGTCGCTGATGGACGTGGCCGTCGCGTCGTCGCACAGCGAGAACGCGACGCTCGTGGCCTGGGCGACCGAAACGCTCGGCTGCATGGAACGGCGACGGTGGGGCCGCGATGAGTGCCGCACGGGGCGGAGCTGGGCGTGCCGTGTGGGCGCGGGCGGGGGCCGCGCACCTCGATGAAGCCGCCCCCGCCGCACTTGCAGTAGGCCGCCGGGCCGGACTCCATCGCGCCGTTCTTGTACATGGCGACGTTCGGCGTGGCGCCCTGGAGGGAGGTGACGCGCGTCCACGACAGCTGCGGCACGTCGAGGCGGCCGCACTGCGCGGGGGTCGTCTCGCAGCACTGCGCGGCGACGCCGCTGCAGGGCCGCACGCACTTGTCGAGCGCCGTGTCGAGGGCAACAGCGCGGACGTTGCTGGTGGCCGTGCCGCCCTCGGCCGCCGCGGAGTCGGCGATGCTCTGCGCGTCGGCCTGCCCGCACAGCGCCACGCCGATCGACAGCGCGGTGGACACGGCCGCCCCGCCGTCCTCGACCGCGGCGCCCGCCTCGGCACCGGCGCCGGCCGCGGAGCTCCGCTGGGCGAGACCGCGGCCAGCCCCCGAGGGCGAGACGGGCGCCGGGGCGGAGCTCCGCCACCAGCTCGGCGCCGAGGCGACCGGTGTCGGAATGACGGCTGCGTCCAGGAAGGTGCACATGAGCGGCGTGGGACAGGGGCCTATGATCATGGGACAGCGCGATCGGCGCAGTAGGCGCGTGGCGCTGTGATGTACGGTCCTCGCACAGGCATGTCGTGGGGTCTCGGTGCGGGCAGCGACCCAGAGCCAATGCTGAGTTGCAGGGGGTGGGGTGGGGCCGTGCCTGCTGCGCCGATGGCGACGGCCAAGATGAGCCAGGTGCGTAGCGCTCGCATTCTTCGGCCCGGGCCAGTCGAGGTCGGATAGGTGGGCCCTGCGACGTGTGATATCCGACTCGAAAGTATCAATGGGGCCGCTCCTTGCCGCGACTACACCGGACGCGCTCTTCCTGTACTGATCGACACTGAATATCCCAAGTATCATATACTGCCGCTAAATCGGCCCTGCAAGCTCCGTGCGGCGCTGCTCGGGGGGCCTCCACGGTGGAGCTGCGACCTGACACGATCGGAGCTAGCGCCGCGGGGCTGAAGCGTTTGCAACCGCGACCGACTGGCCACTTTAGCTCTCGACGAACTGCGCGGAGCGCCCACCTGTTCGAGGCTTTCGCGCGCCCGGACAGGTGGGACCATCCTCCACATCACCACGAACATGAGGCCCTGGGGCGCTGCGGTGCTGGCGGGGCTGCTCGCGGGGCTGCTCGCGGGCCCGTCCGCGGCACACGATGTTGCGCTCGACGAGGGGCTGTCGCAGGTGAGCGGCCGGTCGCGTTCCGGCCCGAACGCGCCGTGGCGCTGCAGCGTACGAAGTGTTGCGCGTTGCGGGACAGTTCTTCGCTGACCTACGAGCACCCTCACCGCGAGGATGCTGGAGCGACCGAAAAGAGGCCCTGGGACGTTCCGGCCGCTGACTGGCGGGACACAGCGCTTGGTCTATCGTTACAGATATTCGTGTGCGCGCAAGTCGCCGTCCTCGTCAAGAAGACCCCGGAGGACTACCCGAACGGCCGGGTCGTGCTCACCAGCGCCGACGATGCCGTCATGGACGCCTTCTCCCTCGAGCAGGACGACGGCATGCTCAGCATCAAGGCCACGCGCTTCGAAACGAGGTGCGAGCACGCGCCGTCGCGACGACGCCGGAATACACGCGTTGAACGACGGTGTGCACGTACCGCATGCGGCGTGCCTGGTCGTCGCCGATCGCGCGGCTGCCGGCGTCCTCTCACGGCGCAGGAACCCGGTCGAGCTGACGGTGTACGTGCCCCCGCTGCCGTCCCTGGTCGTCTTCAAGGCCGGCCCCGGCGCCGTCGTCCTCGCGCCTGGTCTCTCGTTCGAGGAGGAGCTGACCGTCGCTGCCGAGTCGGGGGCGTCCGTGTACGTCAAGGACGTCTCCACGCCCAGCCTGATCCTCCGCGACACGGGGTACGTCGTCGCGCGACCGCGCTGTGTCCCGCATCGCACTCGCTGCAGCCCTCGCCACGCAACCCGCGCGCCCGCCGACGTCGCGTGCAGCGCCACGGACCTCTTCGTGAGCGGAGAGATCGGCGACGTCGACGTGGACGCGCGCGGGAGCTCCAGCATCGCCCTCGATGGCGTGCGCGGCGCTGTCACCATCGACCTGATCGGGAGCCACGAGCTGACCGTCGCCGGCGCCGGAGACAGCATGTCCATCACCGGAACCCTCGTCGGGAACGGCGTCGTGCGCTACGAGGGCGGCGCGTGCAGCGTTGCGCCGCCCGCCCGCGCGCCCGACCTGACGGCGCTGTTCGCGAACCCCTTCGTGCCCGTGGCGACGAAGGACCGCCTGCGCCGGCAGTTCTCGCAGCCGCCCTTCGCGTCGCCGTGCGTCGAGTCCGCGGTCGAGGTGGCGCGCGAGGCCCCGCAGTGGACGTGCGGGGTCTCCCCCGAGACGGTCGTGCGGTGCACCGCCGTCGACGGCGAGGTGCGGCCTCCTACGTGACGATCTCCTTCCGCGATCGGGCGGCGTCCCGTCGTCGTGCTAGCTCGGCGCCGGTGGTGAGCTCACCTGCACTGCTTGCAAGTGATGTTGCTGTGCAGGACGCAGGAGGCCGCCGCCGCCGCCGCGGTCTGTTCCAGACCGTTGCTGACGTCACGAACGTCGGTACCGGGACCGTCGTGAGCGAGGGCTCGGCGGTCGCGACCGGGCCTGGCGTGGGCGGCGACGCGAATCTCCCGGCCGCGGCGGAGGAGGCGCTGCGCAGTGCTGGCATCGACCCCTCTGCGACGGGCGCAGGCGAGCCCGCGCAGGACGCAGCTGAGCCCGACGAGGGCTCCGATCCCGCTGACGCAAGCAGCTCCGACTCGGAGTCCGATTCCGAGTCTGACGCGGAGTCTGCTGACTCAGTCGACGGCGATGACGGCGACGCCAGGTGCGCGCGACGCAGCGGGGGCCCGGCGTGTGCCCGTGCGTGTGCGGCTTCGTGGCTCACCGGCGCGCACCCCCCGTTGGTGCGTTTGTGTGCAGCGCGGCGTCGTTCGCGACGGCGTCGGTGCTGGTCGAGGGCACGTGCGACTTCGAGGGCGACCTGACGATGCCGCTCGAGGACGGAGGGGCGCAGGACGCGGAGGACGACGCGCCCTGAATCGAACTGCATCATCATCATGTCGATGCCACCGCCTTGCTCGCGCGAGGAGCGCGATGGCACGGAGGAGGAAGGGTGTGAGCCGGAACGATCTGCGACAGCTCGACACGCTGACGCCCTCCCGCGTGCGTTGAACATAGCGCTGCTACCCGGAGCCGTCACCCGGGGCCGCGGGGGCCGGGCTGCCTGGATCGGCGGAGCCCGTGGCGCGCCAGGCCACGTCGAGCCCGGGCCGGCTCGCCTGCACGTCGGCCACGACAGCTTCGATGCCCTCGTCGCTCGCGCCGGGGTTGGCCGCCACCTCGATGCTACGCAGCGTCGGCGCTGCACCGTCGGCACAGAGCACTCGGAGCAGGCCGCGGATGTCGTCGAGGGAAAGGCCGTTGCCCGCGACCACCAGCGTTGTCAGGTCGCGGAACCCCCCGCCCGCGACACTCGCGGCCAGGGCCTGCGCGCCGCCACAGCCCAGCGCGTTGTCGAAGAGCGACAGCCTCCGCAGCTGCGGGATCGCTGCCAGCGCCGCGACCGCTTCCGCGCAATCCGTGCCATCGTCGCCGCCCCGGCACCCTGTAAAACCGCGCACCGTGGGCTCGTCTGAACAGGATGTTGCTGCGCGCACAGGTGAGGCGCGGAGTGGGGGGCGCGAGCGACGGCGGGGCGCGAGGCGCGCGCGGGTCACCTGCGAGGTCCAGCTCCGCGACGCCCGGCGACGACGCGAGCGCCCTGGCGAGGCACGCGACGCCGGAGGGCCAGATGGCATTGTTTGACAGGTCGAGCTGGGCGAACCGCACGCCGCGCCGGACCGCCTCCCCGAGAGCGCGGCACCCGTCCTCCGTGACGCCGCACTTGGACAGTCCGAGGCTCAGCTCCACCTCCCCTGAGAGTGCCCCCACCAGCGCTGGCACTCCGTCGCTGGTCAGACACGACGTCAGGTCGAGGTGCGCGATCGACCGCGCGGACAGCGCCGCCCCCAGCGCGGTGCAGGCGCTCCGCGCGTCGTCCGGGCTCTCGAGCGCGTTCGCGGCGAGCAGCACGCGTCGACCCGGCGCGCCAGACGCCGCGAGCGCGCTCCCGAGCGCGGCCATGCCCCTCGCGCCGACGCCGCACGCGCGAAGATCCAGCAGCCGCAGCCCGCGCACGAGCGCTGCGCTCGCGGCAAGCGCGGCCACGCCGTCGTCGCCCAGGCGCGGGTTGCGCGCCAGCAGCAGCTCTTGCAGCCCGCCGGGGGACTCCGCCAGCGCGGCCGCGCCCGCCGGGCCCACGCCCTTGTTCTCGAGGTCGAGGCGCTTCAGGGTCGCGTTGCGCGACAGCCCTGCGGCCAGCGCGGCGACGCCGTCGTCCCCGAAGTCCGCCGAGCCCACACAGAGGGACGCGAGGGATGTATTCTCGCGAAGCATGCCCGCGACCACGGCGGCCGTTTCCGCGGTCATGGCGTGGCCGCTCGCGTAGAGCTCCTTCAGGGACGTGTTGGATCGGAGAGCCGCGCACAGCGCCGTGACCTGCGCGTGGAGTGCGGTGAGGTGAATTAGGCAATCCCCCGCAACGTGACGGTCCGGCCAGAAAGGCCCGTTTCTGCGTGCTCAAGGACTTCCTTCATGATCGAAGAAGCTGTGATGGGCCTCCAGGGCCGGTCGCTGGCCGTGTGCCTAGAGCCCGGGGCAGTGGCTGCCGGGAGTGCAGCCTCCGCCTACCTGTTCGTGGCCGAACTTCCGGAACCGGAGCACGGTCAGGGAAGTCAGACTCGCATCGTTCGCCTCGAGGCGCTGCACCCAGTCGTCCACCCCGGTCCCACCGCGGGCCCCCCAGGCCCCACCACCACCGCCGCCCCACGCCATCTCTTCGTCGCGGTTTGCGAACCCTGGTCGCCCGAAAACGCAAAGGATTGCCCGCGTCGGGATGACACAGGTTGCAGCATGCCGTCTGCGCGCGACGGAGTCTCACAATCGCTCCCTCGGAGGAAGCGTGCGCGTCGGACTGCGGTGCTGGAGGCCTCACACACGCTCGTCAGCACAGGGGTCTGAAGCGGACGTCGCCGCTGCATCGACGTCCTCCGCCGCCGATGCGCGGGTCGTGGCAGGGGGCTGGCGACCGAATCCCATTTCCCTAGCGCTCGGCGCACCCTGGTGTTCACAGCACGTACGCTGCGGCCCTTTGCGCGACCGCAACGACCACGCAACAGTCCCAATCAGACGTGCTCAAGCAGGCCGCGTGGGAGAGTCCGCCCGCAGCGAGGCACGTGCCATTCGACACCATGACGCGACGCGCAACGTGAGGAGAGGGTCACACACGCACTTCGTTCCGCGCGGACACTTAGGCGGTGGCGCCGGCGCGCTCGGCGGCGATCTCCTTCTGGATGTTGGGCGGCACGGGCTGGTACTTGCCCAGCTTCATCGAGTAGTTGGCGCGGCCCTTGGTCATGCCGCGCAGCTTGGAGACGTACTGGAACATCTCCGCGAGCGGCACCTCCGCGGCGATGGTCTTCATGCCGCCGGGCTTGTCCCCGAGCTGGCCGACCACCCCGCGGCGCGAGTTGATGTCGCCGATGACGTCGCCCATGAACTCCTCGGGCGTGATGACGTCCACCTCCATGACCGGCTCCAGCAGCTGCGGCTTGCCCTTCTTCATGCCCTCCTTGAACGCCGAGCGCGCCGCGATCTGGAACGCCAGCACCGACGAGTCGACGTCGTGGTACGACCCGTCGTAGAGCGTGCACCGCATGTCCACGACGGGGAAGCCCGCGAGCACACCCGTGCTCATCATCTCCTCGAGGCCCTTCTGCACGCCCGGGATGTACTCCTTCGGCACCACGCCGCCCTTGATCTCCGACACGAACTCGAAGCCCGAGCCGGCCTCGAGCGGCTCGAAGCGGATGGCCACGTCCGCAAACTGGCCCGACCCGCCCGACTGCTTCTTGTGCACGTAGCGCGTCTCGCTCGGCTGCGAGATCGACTCGCGGTAGTTCACCTGCGGCGCGCCGACCGTGCACTCCACCTTGAACTCGCGCTTGAGGCGGTCGACGATGATGTCCAGGTGCAGCTCGCCCATGCCCTCGATCGTGGTCTGGCCCGACTCCTCGTCGCGCGAGAAGTGGAACGAGGGGTCCTCCTGCGCGAGCTTGATCAGCCCGTTCGAGAGCTTCTCGAGGTCCTTCTTCGACTTGGGCTCGATCGAGATCTTGATCACGGGGTCGGGGAACTCCATGCGCTCGAGGATGACCGGGGCCTTCTCGTCGCAGAGCGTCTCGCCCGTGATGACGTCCTTGAGCCCGCCGATGGCGATGATGTCGCCCGCGCGCGCGACCTTGACGTCCTCGCGCGAGTTGGCGTGCATCTCCACCATGCGCCCCACGCGCTCCTTCTTGTTCTTGTTGGCGTTCAGCACGTACGACCCGGCCTCGATGGTGCCCGAGTACACGCGGCAGAAGGTCAGCGAGCCGACGAAGGGGTCGGCCATGATCTTGAACGCGAGCGCCGCGAACGGCTCGTCGTCGCTCGACTTGCGCGACATCTCCTTCTCCGGGTCGTCGACGGCCACGCCCTTGATCGCCGGCACGTCGATCGGGCTCGGGAGGTAGTCCACGACCGCGTCGAGCAGCGGCTGCACGCCCTTGTTCTTGAACGCCGTGCCGAGGAGCACCGGCGTGAAGCTGAAGTTGAGGCAGCCCTTGCGGATGAGCTTCTTCAGCGTGGCCACGTCGGGCTCCTCGCCCTCGAGGTACGCCTCGAGGACCTCGTCGTCCTGCTCGACGGCGAGCTCGATCATCTTCTCGCGCCACTCCGCGGCCGTCTCCTTGAGGTCGTCGCGGATGTCCACCACGTCCCACGACGCGCCCAGGTCCTCGCCCTTCCACACCAGCTCCTTCATCTCGATCAGGTCGATCACGCCCTCGAAGGCCTCCTCCGCGCCGATCGGGATCTGGAGCGGGCACGGCGTCGCGCCCAGGTTGGTCTCGATCATCTTGACGCAGTTGAAGAAGTCGGCGCCCAGGCGGTCCATCTTGTTCACGAAGCACATCCGCGGGACCTTGTACTTGTCCGCCTGGCGCCACACCGTCTCCGACTGCGGCTCCACGCCCGACACCGCGTCGAACACCGCCACCGCGCCGTCGAGCACGCGCAGCGAGCGCTCCACCTCGAGCGTGAAGTCCACGTGCCCCGGCGTGTCGATGATGTTGATGCGGTAGTCCTTCCACGAGCACGACGTCGCCGCCGACGTGATCGTGATCCCGCGCTCCTGCTCCTGCTCCATCCAGTCCATCGTCGCGCCGCCGTCGTGCACCTCGCCAATCTTGTACGACTTGCCCGTGTAGTACAGGATGCGCTCCGTCGTCGTCGTCTTGCCGGCGTCGATGTGCGCCATGATCCCGATGTTGCGGTACGTCTCCAGCGGGATCTCGCGCGTCTCTGCGGGGGCGGGGGCCACAGCGGGCGGTTGGGGCGCGCCGTGCACCAGGGGACGCGACCGCGGGCGCGGAGGGCCGCGACGGGGCCGGAAATCCGGCTGGGGACGCTCATCGAGCAGCGAGAGGGCCGTTTCGGCGGAACGAGCGGGCGTGTGCGGGCCCTGCGCGCCGGGGGGGCGTCCCGTCGCCGTGTGTGGCACAGAGGCGACTGCGCGACGGCAGAGCGGCCCGGGCGGCGGAACGCGCTGCGGCGCGCGACGGGCAAAGTCGTGGGCGCGAGGGCGTGGCGCGGGCGCCGGGGGCGGCTCCGAGCGGCCCGGGCGCGGGTGCGGGCGCCGTCCAACCAGGGCGAGGCAGCAACGCCTGGTCTGGAGGGCAGGCGGGGGCTCGCGCGCGCGGCGCGGGCCGCAGGGGGGCGATCGCGCGCGCTTCGGGGCGCGATGGGCTCAGGAGCGGGGAATGCGGGCCCTCGGGGGGAGATCTGCGCGCGCAGCGCTGCGAGCGGGCGGCCCTGATCCACTCCCCAGGCAGTGGCCACACGCTGCGCGGGGGGCTGGGGGCTCCGGGGCGCGCGGAGGGCGATGCGGGCGGGTGCATCGCGGCGCGGTGGCGGGCGGGGCGGCGCGCGGGGGCGCGGGGGGGCACTCACCGCCGCCGACGGCGTGGACGGCCACCGAGGGACGCACAGTCTTGGGGGCCGGCGCGCGGCGCGTGAGGGCCGAGTGGCGGGCCGGCGCGGGCGCGGCCGCGTTCATCGGGGCGTGGGTGGCCGGGGTGAGGGCGGCGGGGACCGCGGTGCGGGCCTGGCGCCCGGTGCGGGCGACAACGCCAGCACGGGGCTGGGCGGTGACGTTGGCCTGCATGGTGACTGGGCTGCCGACGAACGGGGACGGCTTCGACGAATCAAGAAGAACAGGCTGACGCGGGCGCGGGCCCGCGCGAGCCCTTGTCGCGCCTGCGGGCCCGGGACGACGACAGAGCCCATGTCGGGCTGCCCGCGTTTGTCCTCCCACCGTTCGTCCCGTGGGCGTGGAGCGGGCTGGCGCGGCGAAATTTAGGTCACGTATATTGAACGCTGCAGCGGAACCGATTCAGCGACGCCCGCGCGCCCGAGCGGACCTGCGCGCGCGGGAAGCGTGGTGCACGGAGACAGCGGCGCTGTGCGACGTGCGACGGTCGCTTCGGACCAAAGACCGGAACACAAGGGTATATTGACGATCTGAAGAATCCGAAATTCTATGCACCGGTCCCGGTGGATGACGGCGACGAGCGAATTTCACCTCAACAGGCTGGCGCTTTGCGTGGGGCGGCGGGGTGCCGACGGGACGAGTTGTGGGCCGTATTTACCATATCCTGCGTGATTCAGGCATGCATCTGGCATTGGCGCATAGAACCAGCGCGAGTCATCACAGGATCTCCCCACAGGCGGGCCGGGCAGCAACCGCACCCCGCCGGTGGCCGGACCCCCGCCCACACGTCTGTGACCACAACCGGCCATTTCGCTGCACATCGGTCGCTCGCCCAGCTCAAGGGCGTCCCGCCGCGCCCGCGATCGGCGCGCCTTCGCCCCGCCTTCGCGCCGCTGCGCCGCATCAGTGCCTTTGCCACCGCGCCACTTCCCCTCGCGCGACCCGCACACATCCGACATGTCACGCCGCGTTCCCCCTCCCAACGCGTCGGCCGCGCCTTCTTCGTTGTTTTCCGGCGCGAGATCCGCGCGCTCGGCCCGCTCGTCGCGCCCGTCGATCACGATTTCACGTTGATGCTGTCAGACCGCACTGCAGGGCCCGCCGCGGCGCCCCTCGTTGCCCCGCGCACCGCCAGGGTCCCGGCAACTTCGTCCCTTGCACTGCTCAACGGAAGACTCGCCACCATGTACACGGCCTCGGCTCCCACTGTCCGCCCGGTCGCGGTGTCGCGCCGCGCCCGCTCCACCCGGTGCCAGGCCAAGCGCGGCGAGGCCCTGGACCGCCCCCTCAGGTGCGCCCGTGCACGACACGTGCCCCACGGCCCCGCGTCCCGCGCCGCCCGCGCCTGACACGCCCCCGGCACCCGCGCGCAGGGTCGCTGTGATCGGCGGCGGACCCTCGGGTGCGTGCGCGGCCGAGACGCTCGCCGCCGGCGGCGTGGAGACCTACCTGATCGAGCGCAAGCTCGACAACTGCAAGGTGCGCCCCGCGCCCCGCGACCGCCCCGCCGACCCCGCGCATCCGCCCCCGACCCACCCATTCCGGCCCCGTGCCCCATCCGTCCCCTGCGCGCCCAACACCGGCCGCCGCGCGCCCTCGCGCGCCACACGCGCCCCCCCTGCGCCCTGCATCCTCGGGCGCGCGCCGCCGCGGTCCGGACACGCCGTTCCGACCCGCCGCGGGGCCCTCCAACCGGCCCTCAATCCGTGCAGCCTATCCGTCCCTGCCGCGGCGCGCCCGGAGCGCACACACCGCCGTCCGCCCCCTCGCTGCCCGCACACGGTCCGACCTGACCGCTTTCGTCGCAACGCGTGCCGCCCCCGCCCCCCGCGCGCGCCCCCCGGCGCGATATCCCTCTGGATATTGCCTCGGGCCCACTTGGGGCGCGACGCAGCGCCCGCCCGGTGCCCCTGCCCCGCTTTCGGCGCCGGGGCGTGGCGCCGGGACACGCGAGCTCGCCCTCCCCGATACAGCGCGGCTGTGTTTCGCTTCCGTCGCGCGCCCCGCGCCCACGCCCTCCTGGCCTCAATCTCCTCCCTCCCACGCGCCTGCGCCGCGCGCACCGCCGCGCTCGTGCGCTGCTTTGCGCCCGACCGTGTCCACGATATCCGAAACATGTGTGTGCGCGCGTCTCACGGCGCGACTCGCGCCCTGTACGCGTCCTTCGCGGCTCTTGTCGTGCCGCAACCTCACACGCCTCCCTCCGTGCCTGTGCGTTGCAGCCCTGCGGTGGAGCCAGTGAGTACACCCGCGACGACCAGCCCGTCCACGCGCGAGCGATCCGCCCCTGCCATCGCCACGTCTCCCCGCCCGCCCGCGGGAACCGCACCGCGTGCCGCCGCGCTCTCGCGCCATGCCGCCGTCGTCGCCACGCCCCCCCTCACGACGCCGCGCCTTCCCCCCCGCCCCCGCAGTCCCGCTGTGCATGGTGGAGGAGTTCGACCTGCCCATGGTGCGCCCCCACCCCCTGCAACGTCACACGCCCCGCAGTGCAGCGCCCCCGTGACGTGTCGCGCGCCCGCTCGGCTCCGGCTCAGCCCGCTCACTCCACGCTGTCGCTGCGCAGGAGATCATTGACCGCAAGGTGACGAAGATGAAGATGATTTCCCCCTCGAACCGCGAGGTGGACGTGGGCAAGACGCTGAACGACAAGGAGTGGATCGGGATGTGCCGGCGCGAGGTGTTCGACGACTACCTGCGGAAGCGCGCGGAGAAGAACGGCGCGACGGTGCTGAACGGGCTGATGATGCGCAGCGAGAAGGAGGGCGACTCGTACCGCGTGCACTACAACTCGTACAAGGAGGGCGCCAAGGTGGGCACGCCCGCGCACGTGGACGTCGACGTGGTCATCGGCGCGGACGGCGCGAACTCGCGCGTGGCCAAGGAGATGGGCGCGGGCGAGTACGACTACGCCATTGCCTTCCAGGAGCGCATGCGCATCCCGGACGACAAGATGGAGTACTACAAGGACCTGGCGGAGATGTACGTGGGCGACGACGTGTCACCGGACTTCTACGGGTGGGTGTTCCCGAAGTACGACCACGTCGCGGTCGGCACGGGCACGGTGGTGAACAAGACGGCCATCAAGCAGTACCAGGACGCGACGCGCGAGCGCGCGAGCGCGAAGACGGACAACGGGCAGATCATCCGCGTCGAGGCGCACCCGATCCCGGAGCACCCGCGCCCGAAGCGCGTCCAGGAGCGCGTGACGCTCGTCGGCGACGCCGCGGGCTACGTGACCAAGTGCTCGGGCGAGGGGATCTACTTCGCGGCCAAGTCCGGCCGCATGTGCGCCGAGGCGATCGTCAAGGCGTCGGAGAACGGGAAGAAGATGGTCGGCGAGGAGGACCTCCGCGTGTACCTGGACGAGTTCGACCGCAAGTACTGGGCCACCTACAAGGTCCTCGACATCCTCCAGAAGGTGTTCTACCGCTCCAACCCCGCCCGCGAGGCCTTCGTCGAGATGTGCGACGACACGTGAGTGACCCGCGCCGCCACACATGCGCCACGCACGCGCGCGCGCCTTGCGTGCGCCCACGCCGACCGTCGCCGCCGCTGCGGTCGCCCTTGGTCCCCGCAGGTACGTCCAGAAGATGACGTTCGACTCGTACCTGTACAAGACGGTCGTCCCGGGCAACCCGCTCGACGACGTCAAGCTGCTGTCCAACACTGTGGCCTCGCTGCTCCGGAGCAACGCCCTGCGCAGCAAGTCCGCCGAGCCCGTCGCCTAAGCCGCCCCGCACCCCCAGCGAGCAGGCCGCGCCGCCGCGGACCGGCGAGCGTGCGGACGCGGGGCCGCGCGCCACGCCGCGCGCCCCACTCTTGCCCCTGGGTATTCATAGCGAGGTCGGGCCGCCCCGCCGCGGCCGGCCCGCGCGACGCGCCTGCAAACACGCAGATTCCCTAGCACACGGCGTCCTGTGAACGTCCACTCCGCCGGCGCCGTCTCCCCCGCACGCACGCCCGGAACGCCCGCGCCGCGCTGGACTCACCACGCCATGCGTCACCCGCGCACGCGCCCGCCGCGATCGCACGCCCCGGACCGCGGCCGGACCCCGCTCCGTCCGCGGCGCCCCCGAAACCGCGCCCGCCCTTCCCTCGACACCCTCCGCCGCGCACGAGGCTGCGTGGCACGCGCACGACACCCCGGACCGCCTCCGGAGCCCTCCGCGGCGCCCCGCTGCCCGGCAGCCGGCGCGCGGAGGCGCGCGCAGGGCCCACCCGTGCGCGCGCCGCGCAGGGGCGGCTCGCGCGACCGTCGCGGGGGTCCCGCCACCTCTGGCGCCCCCAGCAGCGACCGCGTCGCGGCCGGAGGGCGCCGCGGCCGGACCGGCGCGCTCCCATCGTCGATGCGTTGCCGCGGAGCTGACGCGCGCGGCGGGCGGGCGCATCGCCGGTGCGGGCCGCGTGGGGCCGCGGCCCCCGCACTGGGCTGGAGATGCCCCCCGCATGCATGATGCACGGCATCCCGCGGGGCCGGGGCGCACCTGGTGGCGTCCGCGGCGGCAGGGGCCGCGCTGCGAGGTGGGGGCGTCGCTGCGGGGGCGCAACGCACCGGTTCCGGGGCCCGAGCGGCGCGGCGTGCCCGGTGAGGCGGCGCTCGGGGTCAGCCCGACCGGTGGCGGAGTCGCGCGCGGGGCGTGCGCGGCCCCCATTGGGCCGCCCGCGCTGCGTGTGGTTGTGAGAAAGCAGGCTCTGTATCCGTGGGCCTGGACGGGGCATCGCACGCCCGCGTGGGACGACGGAGAGCGAGCGCAGAGAAGACCGGCTAGGGTCGCGTAGGCGAAGGCGAACGAGGGCCCGGCGACGGCGGGCGACGTGCAGTCTTGCAGTGGTACGCGGTCGCGCGGATAATTTGCCGCGAGCCCGCGCGTGCAGTGCCGGCTCGCCGATCGGCATCGCTGCGGCGCCCGGGCGGCTGCGAACTGACCGCCCGGCCCCGCTGACGCGTCGCGCAGGATGCAAGCACAGGGAACCATGGCGAGCGGGCCCGGCGTGCTGGCGGCGACGCTGTCCGCGGACATAGAGGGCGAGGCACCGCCGGCTCTGCAGGAGCTGGCGAGGAAGAACCGCCTCTCCGTCGAGGCGGCCACCATCACAGGCACGCGACCCCCCGCAAACGCAAGAGCCGCGCGCCCCCCGGGGCCCGGGCCGCCCACGCGCGCCCGCCCGGCCCGCCCGCGCGCGCTGGGCGCGTCCTCCACGCAGCTCCCGCGCCTGGGAGTTGCTCGCGCTTTCGCCGCGCTGGACGATTCGAACCGCGATGTCCGCCGCCGCCCGGACGTTCCTGATTGCGCTGCCCGCGCGGCGGACGCGCGCTCGCCGAGCGGCCCGCCGACCGCGCCGGCCGCGCCCCTGGTCGGTCTATCTTGGACCTGGGCACCGGCACGCGCAGTTTCTGGCCGCGCGCGGCCCCCCGGCCGCGCCTTTGTCCGTTCCCGGGCGAGGGCCCTCGATCCCGCACCCAGGCGGCCCGCGTATGTGGGCCGCCGGACGGCGCCGCAGGTCCCGTCGTGCGCTGGTGCCCCGCCGACCCACGGACGACCCAGTGCCCGGCGCGCGCGGGCCGCCGCTGCGCTGCCGTCGCCGCGGGTTTTCGCGAGCCAGCGCACGACGACGCCCGCCCGCGCGCCGGCCGACCGCCGCGCGACCGCCCTGCGGCGGTGGCCGCGCCGGGTGCCGCCCGCCCCCAGCATGCGCCGCCCGCGCACCGCCCGCGCCGCCCTCCGTTTCGGCGCCGCTGTGCGCCGCGGCCCGCCCTTGCGCGGGTCGTGCGCCTCGTGGCCCGCGCCGCCCACCCGGCCCCGTGTTGCGCGTTTGCTCGCGTGCAGTGCTGAAGCAGCGCCTGGTGCAAGAATGGGCGCCCGAGTACGAGCCCGCGGACTACAAGCCCCCGAACCAGTCCTCGGACACGATCTCTGAGCGCCACACGCTGGTGTCGAAGCGGCTGCTGCTCGGCGAGGTGCCCACGCTGCGCAAGACCAAGATCCTGTGCACCATGGGCCCCGCGTGCTGGTCCGAGGAGAACATGTCCAAGCTCCTCGACGCCGGCATGAACGTGGCGCGGTTCAACTTCTCGCACGGCGACCACGACGCCCAGGGGCAGGTGCTGGAGCGGCTGCGCAAGGTGATGGCGAGCAAGGGGTCGCTGGCGGCGACGCTGCTGGACACCAAGGGGCCGGAGATCCGTACGGCGATGCTCAAGGACGGCAAGCCGATCGACCTGGAGGCCGGCCAGGACATCATCGTGGAGGCCGTGGGCGACAAGTACACGGAGTTCCAGGGGCACAAGACGGAGACGGAGACGCGCATCGGGCTGTCGTACGCGAAGCTGTGCACGTCGGTGAAGCCGGGGAACCGGATCCTGCTGGCGGACGGGTCGGTGGTGATCGAGGTGGTGGAGATCCTGTCGGACACGGAGCTGAAGGGCAAGGTCCTGAACACGAAGACGCTGGGCGAGCGGAAGAACTGCAACCTGCCGGGGGTGCAGGTGGACCTGCCGGTGCTGATGGAGAAGGACATCCACGACCTGCAGAACTTTGCGTGCAAGCACAAGATGGACTACGTGGCGGCGTCGTTCGTGCAGTCGGCGGAGGACATCCACTTCATCCGGCGCGTGCTGGACGAGGCCGGCGGGCACCACATCAAGATCATCGCGAAGATCGAGAACATGGCCGGGCTCGACCACTACGACGCCATTCTGGACGCCACGGACGGCATCATGGTGGCGCGCGGCGACCTGGGGATGGAGATCCCGTCCGAGAAGGTCCCCATCGCGCAGAAGCAGATGATCACCAAGGCCAACATCAAGGGCAAGTTCATCATCTGCGCGACGCAGATGCTCGAGTCGATGATCGGCAACCCGCGCCCCACGCGCGCGGAGATGACGGACGTGGCGAACGCGGTGTTCGACGGCGTGGACGCGGTGATGCTGTCGGGCGAGACGGCCAACGGGATGTTCCCGGACGAGGCCGTGTCGACGATGGCCGCGATCGTGGAGAACGCGGAGGTCGGCGTGGACAGCATCCACGAGTACAACTTCGTGCGGTACTGGAACACCATGTCGAGCACGAAGCGCATCTCCGGCCGCGAGTCGATCCTTTCGAACGTCTCCAACGCGGCGAACGACCTGCGCTCCAGCGAGGCGTCGGAGCGCAACCTGCTGCAGATCATCGCCGTGGTGTGCACGCGCACGGGCGTGGCGGCCAACCTGGTGACCAAGTACCGCCCCAACTGCCTCGTGGTGGTCGTGTCGGACAACGAGGCCGTCCTGCGCCAGTGCAACACGTCGTTCGGCCAGATCGGCATGCCCGCGCCGCAGGGCGGGTTTGACAACCTCAGCAAGGACGCCGTCAAGTACGTCGAGCAGAAGTGCAACGTCAAGGCCAAGCAGTGCAAGGTCCTGCTCGTGACGGGCACCACGGAGGTGTGGGCCGACGAGAAGCCCGTCCTCCGCGTGATCAAGACGGGCGGCGGCCTCTCGGGGGCGCACAAGTCGGGCGCCGCGCTGACCACGCCGTCGGGCACGCCGACGCCCGCGCCGGGCGTGGTGTCGACGCGGACGACGCGCACGAACCTCGGGCTCATCAACAAGCCCGTGAACAAGCCGCGCGCCACCAAGATCGTGTGCACCATGGGCCCCGCCTGCTGGTCCGAGGAGAACATGTCCAAGCTCCTCGACGCCGGCATGGACATCGCGCGGTTCAACTTCTCGCACGGCGACCACGACGCCCAGGGGCAGGTGCTGGAGCGGCTGCGCAAGGTGATGGCGCAGAAGGCCGAGGAGTTCAAGGCCAAGACCAACAACCTGGGCGTCATCCCCGTGTGGGGCACGCTGCTGGACACCAAGGGGCCGGAGATCCGCACGGCGATGCTCAAGGACGGCAAGCCCATCGACCTGGAGGCCGGCCAGGACATCATTGTGGAGGCCGTGGGCGACAAGTACACGGAGTTCCAGGGGTACAAGACGGAGACGGAGACGCGCATCGGGCTGTCGTACGCGAAGCTGTGCACGTCGGTGCGGCCGGGGAACCGGATCCTGCTGGCGGATGGGTCGGTGGTGATCGAGGTGGTGGAGATCCTGTCGGACACGGAGCTGAAGGGCAAGGTCCTGAACACGAAGACGCTGGGCGAGCGGAAGAACTGCAACCTGCCGGGGGTGCAGGTGGACCTGCCGGTGCTGATGGAGAAGGACATCCACGACCTGCAGAACTTTGCGTGCAAGCACAAGATGGACTACGTGGCGGCGTCGTTCGTGCAGTCGGCGGAGGACATCCACTTCATCCGGCGCGTGCTGGACGAGGCCGGCGGGCACCACGTCCGCATCATCGCGAAGATCGAGAACACGGCGGGCCTGGAGAACTACGACGAGATCCTCAAGGTGACGGACGGCATCATGGTGGCGCGCGGCGACCTGGGGATGGAGATCCCGGTGGAGAAGGTGCCGCTGGCGCAGAAGTGGATGGTGACGAAGGCGAACGTGGCGGGGAAGTTCGTCATCTGCGCGACGCAGATGCTCGAGTCGATGTGCTCGAACCCGCGCCCGACGCGCGCGGAGATGACGGACGTGGCGAACGCGGTGCTCGACCTCAGCGACGCGGTGATGCTGTCGGGCGAGACGGCCAACGGGATGTTCCCGGCCGAGGCCGTGTCGACGATGGCCGCGATCGTGCAGAACGCCGAGCAGATGGTGGAGGGCGGCCGCAACTTCAAGTTCATCCGCAACTACACCCCGAAGCCGATGGCTGACGCCGAGTCGGTGTGCTCGTCGGCCGTGCTGGCCGCCATGGACATCAAGGCCAAGGCCATCGCGGTGCTCACGTCCTCGGGCCGGTCCGCGGGCCTCGTGGGCAAGTACAGGCCGAAGGTGCCCGTGTTCGTCTTCACGGAGACGGAGAAGCTGGCCAGCACCTGCCGCTGCCGGTTCGGGCTGCAGGGCGTGTGGATGCCCGAGACGCGGTTCCGGCGCGTGCACGACTGCCTGCCGATCATCAAGTCGATGATGGAGGCGCGCGGCATGGGCCAGCTCAAGGACGGCGACCAGATCATCGTGGTGCACCGCCGCCCGGGCAAGGCCATGCGCAACGAGGACCAGCGCCTCATCATGCGCGTCCTGACCTTCGGCGACCCGGGCTCGCTCGTGGACCGCCCGATCGAGGCCGCGTACCCGGGCAAGCACACGGTGTTCTACCGCTCGACCAAGGTGGGCATGGACACCATCATCGACGACAAGAAGTGGGCCTTCATCAAGCGCAAGACCAAGATCCTGTGCACCATGGGCCCCGCGTGCTGGTCCGAGGAGAACATGTCCAAGCTCCTCGACGCCGGCATGAACGTGGCGCGGTTCAACTTCTCGCACGGCGACCACGACGCCCAGGGGCAGGTGCTGGAGCGGCTGCGCAAGGTGATGGCGAGCAAGGGGTCGCTGGCGGCGACGCTGCTGGACACCAAGGGGCCGGAGATCCGCACGGCGATGCTCAAGGACGGCAAGCCGATCGACCTGGAGGCCGGCCAGGACATCATCGTGGAGGCCGTGGGCGACAAGTACACGGAGTTCCAGGGGCACAAGACGGAGACGGAGACGCGCATCGGGCTGTCGTACGCGAAGCTGTGCACGTCGGTGAAGCCGGGGAACCGGATCCTGCTGGCGGACGGGTCGGTGGTGATCGAGGTGGTGGAGATCCTGTCGGACACGGAGCTGAAGGGCAAGGTCCTGAACACGAAGACGCTGGGCGAGCGGAAGAACTGCAACCTGCCGGGGGTGCAGGTGGACCTGCCGGTGCTGATGGAGAAGGACATCCACGACCTGCAGAACTTCTGCTGCAAGCACAAGATGGACTTTGTCGCAGCGTCGTTCGTGCAGTCGGCGGAGGACATCCACTTCATCCGGCGCGTGCTGGACGAGGCCGGGGGCCAGAACGTGAAGATCATCGCGAAGATCGAGAACACGGCGGGCCTGGAGAACTACGACGAGATCCTCAAGGTGACGGACGGCATCATGGTGGCGCGCGGCGACCTGGGGATGGAGATCCCGGTGGAGAAGGTGCCGCTGGCGCAGAAGTGGATGGTGACGAAGGCGAACGTGGCGGGGAAGTTCGTCATCTGCGCGACGCAGATGCTCGAGTCGATGGTGACCAACCCGTACCCGACGCGCGCGGAGATGACGGACGTGGCGAACGCGGTGTTCGACGGCGTCGACGCGGTGATGCTGTCGGGCGAGACGGCCAACGGCGCGTACCCCGACGGCGCGGTGGCGACGATGGCGCGCATCGTCAAGTCGGCCGAGATCGGCATCAACTACTACCAGACGTGGGAGTTCATGCACGACTTCACCGCGAAGCCGGTGGGCGCGCCCGAGGCGCTCGCGTCGGCGCTGGTCAAGGCGTCCACGGAGGTCGTCCCGGGCCTGATCCTGGTGTTCTCCGAGGCCGGGAAGATGCCCCGCCTGATCGCCAAGTACAAGCCCGCGGTGCCGGTGATGGTGCTGACGACGAACGAGGCGCTCGCGCGGCAGTGCTCGACGCTGTTCGGCGTGTACCCGCACATGATCAAGTCGGCGCCCACGAACGCGCGGCAGATGCAGCAGATGGTGTGGATCTGCATGAACGACGCCGTCAAGTCGGGCCTGTGCGTGGCGGGCAAGGAGGTGATCGTGATGACGTCGACGCTGGTCAAGGGGCACGACAACAGCGCGTCGCGCACCGAGGACGCCGACCTCGAGGAGTTCCCCGAGCGCCAGCTGTACATCACCACCGCGCCCGGGCGCCTCAACTTCGAGCAGCTGGGCCTGGCGCAGCCGTCGCGGTACGCGGACCGGCGCTCCGTGGGCAAGACGCTCTCGATGCGCGCGGTCGACATCAACCTCGACATGCTCAAGTCCCCCGAGGCGGTGGTGCGCAAGACCAAGATCGTGTCCACCATCGGGGGGCTGGCCAACAGCGTGGAGAAGATCAAGGCGCTGCTCGAGGCCGGGACGGACGCGGTGCGCGTGTACTTCGGGCAGGGCGAGAAGGCCGCGGCGACGTGCCGCGAGCTCATCGGCATGGCGCGCGAGGCCGCGAAGCAGGTGGGCAAGGCCGTGCCCATCTACATGTCGATGGTGGCGGCGCGGATGCGGTCGTCGTACCTGAAGACGGAGGGCGGCGAGCGCATCAAGAGCGTGGACCTGAAGGAGGGCGAGGAGGTGATCGTGCGCCTCGTGGACCAGGACCGGCTGGCGCACATGGGCCCGGACGGCTTCGGGGGGACCACGGGGCCGAACGGGACGACGCTGGGGGTGTCGTACTTCGTCAACATGCCGGAGCTGCTCCCGGGGCAGAAGATCCTGATCGACGACGGATGCATCACGCTCGAGGTGCAGGGCGAGATGGACGTGGGCACGGTGCTGTGCATCTGCACGGCCAACGGGACGCTCAGCGAGTACGGCTCCGTCATCATCCCGGGCGTGCTCAGCGCGCAGTCCGAGCTCCACCAGCTCCAGGAGACGGTCGGGACGCTCGTGGAGACGCGCCCGGAGCTGCTGGAGCTGCCGGTGCACCACGCCGAGGACGTGAACCAGGCGCGCGACATCCTGGAGGACGCCGGGTGCGACTCGATGCTCATCGTCGCGAAGATCCAGGACGCGACGGGCCTGCGCAACGCGGACGAGATCCTGGACACGGCGGACGCGGTGGTGGTGGCGCGCGGCGTGCTGGGGCTCGAGATCAACCCGGAGAAGGTCATGCTCGCGCAGAAGGTGCTGACGACCAAGGCGAACGTGCTCGGCAAGCCCGTGATCATCGCGCGGCAGCACCTGTTCTCGATGGTCAGCAACCCGCGCCCGACGCGCGCCGAGATGACTGACGTGGCCAACGTGGTGCTCGACGGCGCCGACGGCATCATCCTGAGCGCGGAGACCTCCCACGGGTGCTTCGCCCGCGAGTCCGTCGAGACCGCCGCCGCCATCATGCGCAACATCGAGTCGGCGTGCAACTACTACGCCATGGGGTCCTTCATCGAGGACTTCACCGCGCTGCCCATGTCGACGCTCGAGGCCACCTGCGCCGCCTTCGCCGAGTCCCTCATCGACTCGGCCGCCAAGGTCGCCGTCGTCGTCTCCACCAGCGGCCTCGCGGCCAACCTGGTCTCCAAGTACCGCCCCGCCGTGCCCCTCGTCAACGTCACGGCCAAGCCCTTCCGCGCCGCGGAGGGGGGCATCCGCTTCGCGATGAACACCATGCTCGTCGACGACCTCGGGGCGCAGGAGGACGTCGACGCCCTCGTCAAGCGCGCCGTGCAGTTTGCGCGCGACCGCGGGCTCTACTTCGGCGGGGAGGTCGCCGTGCTGCGCGGGGCCGCGGAGCCCGACGCCGACGTCGAGCCCCTCATGCAGATCATCGACGAGCCGAAGTGAGCGCCGCGCCCCGGCCGCTGCTACCTGCACTACCCGCGTTGCGACACACGCGTGCCGTCAGCGGCCAACCTCGCCGCGGCAGGCATGCAGAGCGTGAGCCAGCTCGCTCGCTCGGCGACAATCCCTCCTCTGCCCTAACTTTCTACCCCGCCCCGCCCCTTCCTCTCTGCCCTACCCCCCCTCTGCCAAAGTGCCTAGTCCCCCCCATCCCGGTAGGCCGTGTCCACCGCCCGATCGTCCCTGGCGCGCGGAGACTCTAGACCCCCTGCGCAGCGGCGGCTCCGGCGCGTCCCGGCGACGCGGGGCGCCGCGCGCAGGTGCTGCGGCGTGTGAAGCAACCCCACGTGTCTCACAGCGCCGGCGTCACCGCGTGACGTAGATGAATATGAGCACGATGCACACCGCGGCGACCGCGGACAGGATGAGCGCGTCCTTGCTCTTCTTCCGCCGGATCGCGTTGAGGATCCCGTTGACCACGGGCAGCTTGTGCCCCACCTGCACCACCTTCCGCCCCATGCCCTCCAGCAGCGACCCCTGCGACGACAGCGACCCCGCCACCGCCGCCGCCTGCCCGATCACGCCGTCCACCGCCGCCATGCTGCTCGAGATCATCCCGCGCTCGCGCAGCAGCGCTGCCGTGGCGCCGGGGGGCGCCGCGCCGTCCGCGCCCGCGCCCCAGCGGTCGCCGCCCGTGGCCCCCGCGAGCAGCTCGGCCGTGTCCTGCGCCTGCCCGAGCGTGGACCGCAGCCGCCGGAACTCCTGGCTCAGGTCCAGGAAGATCTCGCGGTGCCGCGCGCGTACAAACGAGCGCGACTCCCCCCCGTGGGACGCCATCGCCTCGTTGATCTCCTTCAGCTGGTCCAGCAGCTTCTCGATGTCCGCCACCTTCTGCGGGGGGCAGGCGGCGGGGGCGCGCGCGGTGACGGCCGCGCGGGGCGCCGCGGTCGGGGCGCTGCGCCCGGTGCCCGGGGCCGGGCTGCCGCGGCGCGCGCGATCGGGCGGGCGGCGGCGCGCACACGCGTCGCGCAGTCGCGCCCAGCGTGCCGCGCGGCGCGGGCTCTGGCGCCGGCCGCGGGCGACGCGAGGCGGTTGCACCTGGCGGGCACAGGGACCACGGGCGCACGCGCGGCCTCGGGGGCTTGCGGGACCGCTGGGGCGCCCGCGTGGCTCGTGGTCGCCGGAGGTTGCCGCGGGCGCGTGCGCGGCCTCGGTTGTGAGGGTTTGCGGCGCCCCGCGCCCGTCGAGGAGGAGGGTACTCGCCTGCTTCGATTGCAGCGCCGCGGAGGGATCGGCTCCGACGTACGAGTAGGTCAGCTGTCCCGAGAGACGTGACAACGCGCTGAGCTGCTGCTCAATCTGCTCCTCCGTGACCCGCGCCTGCCTCCTGAGCCCCTCCCAGCTAGCGTTCGCGCCCGACGCTGCCCCGCGGCCGTCGAGACGCGAGGTGGCGTACATCTCGTCCTCCACGAATTGCAGGCGGGACTTCTTCACGGCGGTCGGAATCTTGACGACTTGCCACGGAGTGTTTCACCGAGGGGCTGAACACGAAGAGCAGCAGAGCGCGCGATGGGCCTCCTGCCACGTCACCGGACCTTCCCGGCCTCCCTGCGCATGTCCGCCAATCAGGGTAGCCTGCTGCGAGTCTGCAACCGCGGCACGCGCGCCCGCGGCACTCACACCTGGCCAGCGCGGTGGGACTCCCGCACTGCGCCGGGGGGGTGCTGCACGCGCGACGCAGATCCCCGCGCGGCCTCGCCCCCGCCGCGCCCCGCAGCGACCAGGGCACGCCCGTCCGTCCCACGCGCGCCGGTTCCACGCCGGTCGACGCGCCACGCCTCGGCGACACACAAACACGCGCGGTGCTCACACGGGGCCTCCGCCGCGCTGCGGGGAGCCCGGCCGCCCCTCGCGGGCGCGCGCTACAGCTTCTTGAGCGTCTGCAGCGCCGTTTCGAGGTACTTCACGGCGGAGGTCACGTCGTCGAAGTCGAGGCTGCTGACGGCGTACTTGATGGCCTTCCGCGCGTCGCTCACCGAGTTGTAGTTCACCGGGGCCGCGGGGGGCGCGCGGGGCGCGGGAACCGCGGGGGGCGGGACGTGCGCCGGTGGCGGGGGCGCCGCCGCGTGCCCGGGCGCCGGTGCGGCGGGCGGGGGCTGGGGTGGCGCGGGGCGTGGTGCGGCGCGGGGGCTGCGGCGGCGGCGGCGGCGGCGGCGAGTGCGGCGGCGGGTGCGCGGCGCCGTTGCCGTTCGCGTGGTCCGCGCCGTCGGCGCCGTCGGTCTGCGGCGCGGGGTCGGTGGCGGGCGCGGAGGGCGCGGCCGGCTGCCTGCCCTCGCGGAGGGCCTTGCGGATCTCGGCGGCCCGCCACAGCGCGTACTTGGCGCGCTTTCCGATGGCGTCCGGCAGCGCGCCGTCCTTGTCGAACACCTCGAGCATCTGCAGGAAGATGGACGCCGCGTAAAAGGTGGACGCGGTGCGCTCGTCGGCCTGCCCCGCGCGGTCCTTCTTGTCCGCGCGGTCGAACACGTCCAGCACGAACCGCTCCACCTCCAGGTGGTCGTCCTCGGGCTTCGCCGCGATCCCTGCGGACACACGCACACACGCACACGCGCGTCCTGCTGGGCGTTCGCTCGGCGACGGCGCCGCGGGGGTGTGCGCGGGGCGCGCGTGCGAGTCAGCCGTGCGCTCGGCAGGCGTCGTGCGGGGTTGCGCGCCTGAGGGTCCCTTGGTGTCTTCGAGCTTTTGCAGGATGGAGACCAGGAGGTCGTTCAGGGTGGAGCTGCGGTCCTGGGCCTTCATGCCCTGCTCGACGCAGTGCAGACGCAGGTAGTACGCGACCTTCGGCATCGCCTTCTGCAGCTCCTCCGCCCGCTGCAGTGGCACGGCGCGGGCAGCGTCGGTGCGTGAGCCCCGGGCTTGGAGGCCGACCCCGCCGGAGCGGTGTGGGGCCGTGCACGTCGGGTGGCGCTGGCGTGGAGGTCACGACACTGGCGATGTGGTGCGCGCGCGGGGCCGCCGCGGAAGGCGGTGCGAGGCTGCGCGGCCGGTGCACCCGGTCCAGGGGAAAGACCAGCCGAGTCGTCCGCTGGTCGCGGGCCGGGCGTGGTGTCCCGCATCCGATACGGGCTCCCACGTAATGCGGAATGTCTCGCGTCCGCGTCGTGCATTCGTGGAGTGCGTGGCGCGGGAGGGGAGACGCGGGCGGCCTTTCGAGGCCGAGGACGCGGTCCGATGCACGGCGCACGGGCGCGCCAGGCATCGTTTCGACGGCCGCTGCGGGTCAGCACGGATGCAGACAGTCACCTGGAGGAAGGGCAGCAGCGCCTTCACGTTGGGGTCGTCGGAGGGCATGGTGCTTCACCAGTCCTGGTGTGTCTCTCAGCCAGCGCGCCTCCCGACGCGCGCAGACGGTCGCGCTCTTCGACGCCAGGCTGTTCTCCGCGACGCGGGGCTCCCTCGTGGCTATCGACGCCGGTCGCCGCATAGGCTCCGGGGGCGGACTGGCGCCCGAATGACGTGTCGGGTATAACCACGTGTTTGACCGACCTGCCCGCGACGCGCGCCCGCCCCGCGGCCACCGGCGCCCGCACGTGGCCTCGCGCCGGCGCCGCCGCCCTCCCGCCTCGCCTCATGCGCCGCGGCTCCGGATCGTCGTTGGCGTGCCCGCGCCACACGCGGCCGCGCAGCCCGCGTCCGAGCCGGCATCGCCGCGGGACGCTGCGCGCCGGCGTCTTCCACGCGGCTGACGCGCCGCCGCGGCGCAGTGACGCGTTCCGCTCCACGCGGGACTCCCCGGGGGGGGGGTGTTTGCACACCGCGCGTGAGGGTGCAGCCCCGCGCGACGCACGTGGCCGCCCGGGGCCGCGCCCGACTGCGCCCGGCGACAGGGGCCCCGCGTGGCGCCACCGGCATCGGGCGGAGCGGGCCTCGAGCCACGTCGGCGAGGGGGCACGAGGCTCTGCGGGAGCGTCCCGCCACACGCCCCGCGGCACCGACGACCGGCGGGGTGGGGGGGCGCGAGGCGAGCCGCAGCGCGTGCCCGACCGCGAGCTCGTCAGCGCGCGTCGGCCCAGCAGCGGCGATCGGGGTGCGGTGCGCGTCGCGGGGCAGCGAGCGTGAACGTGACGGTGCTCTTTGGTCACACACACTTGCAGTCGAGCGAGCGGGAGGCGCGCGCGGCCCGCGTGCTCACTCGAGCGACTGCGCGAGCTCTTCTGGGGTGTAGAGGAACGGCGACACCCACCCGGCCCCCTGGTTCTCCGTCTCCGGCCCACCAAAGTTCCTGCGGCCCTTGTTGGACGCCTGCGGGCGCGGAAACGGGGCGGCGGGCGCGGTCGCGGACGGGGATGGATCGGGCGGGCGGGGCGCGGGCGGCGCGGGGCGGGCGGGCCCCGGCGATCGGGTGCGGCGCCCGGGCCGTTTGTGCCCACGCGTGGGCGTGGCCGGACCTTCTTGTACTTCCGGGCAGCCTCCTTGTTCCGCTGGCGCTTCTCCTTCTTCGCGTTACGCCTCTTCGCCATCATGACCACCTCCATGCGCTGGTACCCGCCGCGGGCGACGCGCGGGGCGGGGGCAGCCAGCGCTGCGCCACACATGACGGACTTCGAGCCCACTGCGGGGGGCGAGAGCGGGGGAGGGGGCCGGTCGGCGGGGCTGGCGCGCGAGGGGCGGGCGGGCGGGCGGGGGCGCGCGCATCGCGGTCGGCGACGCGGGCACGCGCGCGGCTGTGAGCACGCGCAGCAGGCCGCTGCGTGGCGTCGCGGAAGGCGGTCAGAAGGACGCGTGCGCGGTCCCAGGTGCGGTACAGCAGGTGGAGCGGCGATCGGAGGGGGCGGAGAGCTCCCGGTGGCAGCGGGAGGGCACGGCTCGGCAGATAATAGGCCATGAGCGCCTCGCGGGCGCTGCCCGGCGATCTCGTCGTCGCTCGATGGCGGCGTCGCCCGGGGCTGGCGTGGAAAAGCGGAGGCTGCGGCGCCCCATCGGCCGAGCGCGCGCTGCGCTGGCCGTGGGCGGCCAGCGACGTCGTGGCCACCGGCGCGCGCTGCCCGTGCAGCGCCGGGGTCCCGGCGCACGCGCCCGGGGGCTCATCGGAAGTCTCCAAGCTGCGCGAGGAAGCTCCCGCGCGCGGTCCACGCCGCGGGGCCAGCGAGGTGACCGCTGTGGGAATGTTGCTTGCCTGCCGCCTGCATCTTGTTCGAGTTCCACGTGTCTCCTAGTGCGCCCCTGCTACGATTGCCCCACGCGAGCGCCGTGGTGCGGCAATGGGCGGCGCCAGTCCTCTGCGGCCGGCCCCGAGGTCCCCCCTCGCAGCGGGACATCGGGGGCCTCCGGAATGCGCGCACCGCCGGGCCTCTCTGGCCACGGCGGGCGCGCCCGTGCGACAGTCACAAAGCGGGGATCCGGCCGACGCGGTTTGAGCGCTCGTTGACGTCGGGTCGCGCGTGCAGCGTCCCCATTCCGGGCGGGCATGCTCTCGCACGGCCACGGCGCGAGGCGCGGCCGATAACGGCGCGATGTCGGGGCGCGGGGGGACGCAGACCGAGCCGAGCCTCGCGCCGTTCGAGCTAGACATACACGGGCTGATCGACGACTTCGTGTTCCAGGTGGGGCGCCCTCCCAGTGCTTCTGCTTGGGGCGCTTGAGACGCGCAGCGCCGCCCACGACGGCGGCTCCCGGTGTCTCGCGACTGCAGGTTATCCGTCACGGGAGGCAGCCGACGTTTGACGAGTTCCGCGGCCTGTGGGAGCGGAGGGACTTTGGGCTGGTCCACGAGTGCTGCCCGCGCGCCTGCAGGCCCTGGACGTACGTGCAGCAGCTCTTCCTCACCGCCCTGAACCGCCTCGTCCTCCCCAGGTGAGCCGCGACGAAGCAGCCCGCCGTGCGCCCGCCCGCCCCTTGCCTCCTCCGCCCGCGCCTGCTGCACACGATCCAGCGCCTGCGAGAGAATGCTGCTGCGGACCAGCACCCGCGCCGCGCCCCACGCGCTGCAGCCCGCTGCCCCCGCTGGAGGACGACGAGGCGGCGGACCCCGGCGCCGCCCCGCACGAGCCGCAGCAGGAGCCGCCCGCGTCGCCCGGCCACGACACTGACGCGCACGTGGACGGCGACCTGGCCGCGGCGTGGGAGGCGCTGGGCGGCGACGGCCTCGCCGCAGAAGAGCCCGCCGAGGACGCGGGCGCGCGCGGCGAGCACCCACCGCGCCGAGCGCCGCCCAGCGATGCGGACCAGGCCGAGCCCAGCGGGAGCGACGGCGGGGCCGCTGCCGCGCCGGACGGTCCGGTGCTCGAGGATGCGCACGCCGACCCTCCCGAGACGGACGCCCTGGTGCCGTGGGAGCCTGACATGGCGGTGGAGTCGGTGGCGGTGGACCAGGTCGGGGCGCTGTTCTGCGTGTACGCGCTCTACATGACGCAGCAGGCCGGGCGCGGTGCGGGGGCGGGGCAGCGGTCGCCGCGCGTGCGCATCTACGCGGCGCAGCAGCACGTGGCGGTGCTCGCGCATCTTGCGCGGTGGGGCAGCTACTACAGCGCGGACTGCCTCGACGTCCTCAGGTGCGGAGCGACGCGCGACGCCGCTGCCCGCCCCGGCACGTGCCCTGGCTGCGCTCCGGTGGGCGCGGGTGCCCCGCGGCCCCGCGCACGCTGTGCCCTCTCGCGCCGCCGTTACTGTCTGGCGGACCCTGACGCGTCGAACGGCGGACACGGATCGCAGGAAGCTGGACGCCGAGCACGCGTTCGTGTACGGCGCGGTGTGGGTGGACCAGTCGAGCGGCGCGGGTGGGCAGCCGCAGCCGCAGCCGTGGGAGGCCCTGCGCCGCAAGCGCGGGAGGCGGCGGGTGGCCGAGGACCAGGTGCCCGGCGTGCTCAGACACATCGAGCACCACGCCCTCAAGGTGCCCGCGGAGCTCAACGGTGCGCGACCACGACGCCAGCGCACGTGCGGCAACGCTGGCGCACTGCATGCACCCCACGCTCGCTGCCTGGGACGCGCAGCCTGCAGGGCTTGAGAGAGTTCACCCGTGCGTTGCACATCGTGCCGTCTCGCGCAGAGCTGGGCATCCTGTCCGAGACGTACGCCTTGAGTCGGGAGCGCGCACGCAACGCCGTCACCGCTGAGGACCTTGGCGGGTGCGCCCTCGCACTCAACATGAGCACCTTCTTCGCCACCGGTGCGTTTCCACCCCCGTGACAATGTCACAGCATGCGGGCCCCGCAGCGGCCGGCGCCGGCAGCACACCACGTCGGCACACCCGTTCCGCGCACCGAGCGACCGCACGTGGTCTCGCTCCCCGCAGACGCGTCCACGAAGCTGTACCACAGCCGCAACAAGATGCTCAGGGTGCTCGCGTTCGGCCGCGCGCGCTCCGCCCCGGCCCCACCGCCCCCGAAGAACCTGCGCGCCCACCGCAAGCGCCGGCGAGCCGACCACGAGCACGGCAGCGACCTCGACGACGACGACGACGCGGACAGCCGCGACGAACGCGCCGGAGCGGGCCCGAGCGGTCCCGGCGCCCGCCCCGCGCGCCCCCCCCCGCGCGAGGACGTGGTGGCGGAGGACATGCCCGCGCTGTTCCCGGCGCGCGGCAGGCGGCGCGAGGAGATCCCGCGGGAGGACCTGGAGCCGCTGCCGGACCTGCAGCACCCGCTGTCGCCGCTGGGCGACCTGGACGACCAGGGCGAGTGGAGCAGCGGCGGGAGCGGGGACTTTTGGATGGGGGGGCCCGCGGGGAGCGACGGCGCGCCCGAGTGGAACTACGAGGCGTCGGACGACGACGAGGGCGACGACTGAGGGAGGGTCGCAGCGCGGCCGTTTACACGCAGGGCGCGCACCCGGGGGTGGTCTATTAGGGGTTGTTTCGCGGTGCGTGCGTGTGAGTGCGTTGGCTGTGATGCACCGCCGCGGAGCGAGGGAGGAGTCTAGACGGGCAGCTGCTGTGGCGGCGCGACCTTGTTGAGGATGTTCTTGAACCACGGCGCGTCGAGCGCCTTGCCGAGGTACGGCATCCGCCGCAAAAAGTGCAACACCGTCGGGAAGAACCCTGCACGGAGCACACGGGGGGGGGTCGGGTTGTTCGGAAATCCGTCTGTCCCGCGTCGACGAGCTCAGTGCGGTGCATGCGTGCGTGGCGATGTGCGTGCCTGCGAAGAGCAGGAAGAACCCGTAGCCCTCGAGCGCGATGCCCACCATCGCCCACCCCCACAGGACGAGCAGGAACCCCGCGCCGAAGAACGCGGTGCCCTTGTAGTTCCGCGGCTTGATGAAGAACTTGATCGTGGCCTCCGGGCCGATCGTCGTCGCCACGCCGCTCAGGAACAGCACCTGCACAGCAGCGACGACGGGGGGGGGGTCGGCGCGGTCAGTGCGGGCGACGGAGCGCGCGGTCTGTGCGGGCCGACGGGCGCGTCGCTGGTGCGTGGCCGCCGTGCGCGCGAGCGGCGACGTCGGCGCCCACGGCGGGCCCAGCCAAGCGCGGCGTGCGAGGAGCGCAGAGGCGGGGCGGGGCCGCACGTTGCCCATGGCGATCAGCGCTCTATCGAAGAGGAGGAGGACTCCGAGCATCGTGAACACGACGCCGATGCCGGTCAGGCCGATGCCGATCTCTGCAGGCAACACGGGAGCGACCTCGGTGGGCGAGGGAGGCAGCGGGGGGCGAGGCGGTAGCGCGCCGGGCGCGAGCTGCCCGGGAGCAGAGCGGGAGGTCGGCTCGCGCGCCCCGCGTCGTCGGCGAGCCCCCCCGGGGCGGCGCGCTCCCGGCGTGGGCCGGGCGCGGTGCAGCGCGGGAGGCAACGAAAAGGACGCAGTGCGCCGGGCGGTGCGGGCCCGGGGAGCCGTGATGCCCGCGGGGGGACCACGGCAGCGTGGGGGACGAGGGAGCGCGCACGACAGCAGCGAGGAGCCGCGGCGCGGGGCGCGCAGGGCGGGGCGCGGTGCGGCGTCGCCCGCACGGAGCGAGCGGCGGATTCCGTCGAGGTGAGGAGGCGAGCAGGCGCGACGGGCGCCGCTGGAGCACGGCCGATGCTTTGGGCTCCGAGCGGGCGCAGGACAGCGGCGGGGCTGGCGGCGCGGGGCTCACTTTTCCGGTCGTCTATCATCAGGGCTCCAGCTCCCTGGTCAAGCGGGCCTCGCTGCGCGGTCGGGGGCGCGCTGCCCGTGTCCTCCCGCGTCGGAACGTGGAACGTCCACGGGGTCTATGAGGCGCGACGACGGGCTACGTGAGCTCCTGAGAGGGCTCTTCCGGGCGGCGCTCGGCCTGGACTGGTGCGCTGGGGTCGAACGGGGTTGTGGAGGGCGGCGCAGTGGAGTGGGGGGAGGTCTCAGGGTCACCAGCAACTACAGTCGCGCCGGGGCGTCGCTGCACGTACTTGGCGCGGGCCGGGAGGCAGTAGCGCTGGCGGACGTGGCCCCGGGTGTCTCCCGCTCACCCGGACGGACCGCCCCTGCCGCGCACCAGCCTCACCACGCGCACGTGCACCGCGCCTGCTGCACATTTCGGACACCCAGGGGCACGGGGCGTCGTTGCATCATCGCTTTCCACCACAGGCAACGCATCACGCGCCGAGGGAGGCTGCTGGGCGGCAGCAGGCGCAGCCCGTGCACGCGGAGGCGCACATTGCTGCTGTGGCGGGCCGCCTGAGCACGGCACACCCGCCGCACCTTGCCCTGCGGCGTCCGTCCCTGGCCCCGCCGCCGCGCTAGAGAGCGCGGGCCAGGAGCGCTCCTGCTGGCGCACTCGCCGCGCCAATGGGCGCCGCGGACGGGCCCCAGGCCGGCCGCAGGAGGGTCGTGTCTCTGCTTCCGTCCGCGACCGACGCGCTCGAGGCCCTCGGGTGCGCGGAGCTGCTCGTCGGGCGCAGCCACGAGTGCGACCACGCGTTGCCTTGCATCGCAGCCGCCACGCCCATCACGAGCCCGAAGGCGTCCACGGACGACACCCCGTCGTTCAAGGAGCTCGACGCCATCTTCTCGGCCTCGAAGGCCGCGGTTGCCGGCGCGGCGCTCCTCGCCGGGGACATGGTGTCGTGGCTGCACCTAGGTCTCGCCGTGTTCCGCGTGGACCTGCGCGCGCTCGCCGAGCTCCGGCCGGACGTCGTCCTCACGCAGGTGCAGGGCTTGCCCGCCATCGGCGACGGCGCCGCAGCAGGTGAGCGGGGCCCCCTCGTCGAGCCCGCGTCGACGGCGACGTGCGTGCGTGCGCGGCCGGCCGCCGCTTGGCGCCCGCGGGGCCTCCCCGAACCGCGCGGCGCGGCGCCTCCTGTCCGTCGCGCAGGTGACGCTGGCGCGGCGCGCGCGGAGGCGATCGGTGCGGTGGAGGCGGCGTTGGAGGAGCTGGTGGGGAAGCATGTGCGCGTGGTGCACCTCGAGGCAGACACCCTCGACGAGGCCATGCAGGACGTGCGCCAGGTGCGCGTGTGCGCTGCTCGCTGGGCGGTCCGGGGCGCGCCGGGGCCGGGCGCGCGCTCACCCGCATGTTGTGTGTCGGCGCAGGTGGCGGGCGCGCTGGGGCTGGGGGAGAAGGGCGAGGAGTGCGTGAAGCGGATACGGAGGCGCATGGACGCGGCGGCCGAGATGGCGCGCGGGCGCGCGGGTCTGCGCGTCGCGTGCATCCAGTGGCCCGACCCGCTGTACGCGGCGCTGTCGTGGGTGCCCGAACTCATCCGCCTGGCGGGGGGCAAGGTGCGCAGGAGCGGGACCAGCATCCGAGCGCCTCGCGTGTCCCGCCGACGCGCGTCGTGGACCGGCCGCGGCACCTGCGGCCGTCGCGGCGCACGTCTGCGTGCGTCGTGTCAACTGCTGCGCCCTCGCTGGGCGTGGTCGTGCAGGACGTGCTGGAGGCCAAGGCGCGGACGGCGTTCGGGAGCGTGTCGGCGTCCGACGTGGCGCAGGCGGACCCGGAGGTGATCGTCGTCGCGGTGTGCGGGCTGTCGCGGCAGAAGTGCGCGGCGGTGGGGAAGACGCTGCTGGAGCGGTTCGGGCGGGAGTGGCGGGAGACGGCCGCGGTGAAGAACCGCCGCGTCGTGGCCGTGGACGCGGTGCGCCTGTTCAGCCGCCCCGGGCCGCTGCTCGCGGACACGCTGGAGGCGCTGTGCGAGATCTTCCACAGCACGTTCGGGGAGATGCAGCCGTTCGGGCACGGGGAGCGGTGGCAGGTGCTGCTATGAGACGCGCGCGGGGACGGCGGGGCGGGCGCTGCGACGACGACGACGACGGCAGCCGGGAACCGCAGCCGCGCCCTGATGCGTGTGTGCGTGAGCGCGCGCCGGGGCGACGCGTGCGCTCTGCGTCGACTGCGGGCTTCCGGGCGCTCGCGCACCAAGCGCCCGCGGCCGCGCGGATGTGCGATGTCAGCGATCCCGTCGCGCGCTCGTGGGCTGGGTGACGCGGCGGTCGTCGTGGTGCGGTTCAGCGAGGGACGGTTCGACGTGTCGCGAGGCGAGGGACGGTCGCCGACCTTCGCGGACGACGGTGGCGACCCGTCATCGTGGCGGGGGGCTGGATCCGCGGCGGGCAGTCCGCGCGTTGCCCAGTGGCTGCGAGGAGGCGGTTGATAAAGTCTTGCAGGCTGGTGCTGAGTGCTGTCGAGTGCGAGGGGCGCTGGACTGCGGGACAGCTGCGGGTGCCGTCTTTGGTGCGTCGCGATGCGGGCGGCAGCGGCGCGGTGTGGCGCGCACTGGGTGCGTGCTGCGAGGCGCGGCGGCTTCTGACTCGCTTGGCGCCTGGCCGTGCGGGGCTGCGATGACCGCGCGGTGTGGAGGTGGACGACGGGACGGTCTGTGCGGTGAGCGCGAGGCGCCGACCGTGCTTGGCGGCGACTGTGGCGTGCCGGCTTAGCCGACAAACTGTCGCCACAGTACCTCGCCTCGAGGCGCCGCTGGCGACGAGGGAATCGCGATGACCTGCGCGTCGTGCCGCACAGCCATACGGGAGCGGCGCTACATCATCGGCCTCCCTCTCGCTGATGTTCGCGGGCAGCACCGGCCATGTCATGCCGCAGCAGCATCGCTCCTGAGGGCGCCGGTCCACAGTCAGCTTCGCAGCGGGAGAGGACCAGGACCGATTCAGCGGCGAGGCTCTCCTCGGTCCGCGGGCCGGAAGTGCCCCGCAGCAAGGTGGCGCATTGTTGCGTTCCTGCTGCCGTCCTCGGTGCCAGCAGCCGTGTGAGTGCTGGAGCGCGACGCCGCGGTCCGTCTCATGGTCGTGCGTGTGCGGCGTCCGTCGCGGGCGGTGCGGGGGGCCGGAAAGCACCCGCGTCAGCATCGCGTCCGCTCCGTGCACAATCTGTTCGCGAGACCGACCCTGGTGCAACGCCGCCCTTCAGACAGGCGACGTCCCTGGGACACCCCGGCGGTGCCGCGCCCTGGCCGTGGCGCGCTTCCTCGGCGCCGATCGTACCGAACGCGCGCCGCATGGAGCGGGGTGCGGTTGCTCCGTGTCTGCCGCCACGCCCGGCTCGCTCGCACAGTGATGGGGTGCTTGAACTACAGCTTGTGCGAGGGTGATCTCTGTCTCGGCGTGTTTGCCCTGCGGCAGCGTGTGGTGCGGACCCCCCCGAGAGCCCGCATGCGGGCGCTGCACGAGGAGCCGTGGGGGCGTGCACAATGGCCGGGAGGCGCGCGGACGCGCTGCACATGCGCAGCGGTCTAGGTAGATGCGCCGCATACAACGGGGCGCCTCGCTTGGCGCCATGCTGGGCTGCGGAGCGGCTCTGCTTTGCACCAGCAACTGAACGCTCGCATGAGGGGCATCTGACGTTACTGCGATACCTCACTTTGAGCCTGCCGCATCAGTGAATCAAACCGTCTCCAGTCAGCCGTACAAATTTCACCCGCGGGCGTCACAGGGTCCGCGATGCCCGGCTTTATCCTGAACGTGGAGCGGCAGGTGGCCCCGATCCGGTCAGCGTGCTGGTCGCCCGCCATGGAGTGGACCTCGTGGCGGTCCACTTCGGGGATGACATGCTCGCGGTGCACCGCATGAGCATCCAGAGGCTGTGGAGCCGGCCAGGGTCCAAGGTACGATGCTGTATTGCAGCGAACAACGCCCGCGCTCGCCCCGTGCACGCTGCCTAGGCCTGTTCGCGGCGATTCTTGCAACGAACGCGATCGTTCATTTCCTCGCGAGGGTGTGCCGCCCGCCAGCGCGGCATGCGGGGCCCCGGCGCGCGTGGCAGGAACAAGCATGTGTGTAGCGGCGGGCGACACGCGGCGAGATGTCCCGCGGGCACCAACGCCCACGCCAGGCGCCCCCATGCGTATCGCGCAGGTGGCGGGGATGTGCTGGTCCCCGGGCGGCCGCGTGCTGGCGTGCGCACTCGCGGGCGGTGGGACGTTGCTCCTTGACGCCGAGTCGCAGCAGGTGCTGGCGACTGCCGCCGCTCCAGGCCGGGGGCGTCACCGAGCAGCTCTCGTGGACGCAGGGCCCGGAGCTCGGCCCAGGCAAGTGCACGGCGGCCCATCCGTTGTGCTGTCGGTGCCGACTGCTGCTTCGCCACGCCACGACGTCCGCAGCGGTTGTTGCGCTCCCAACACCGTCGTGCGCGGAATTCTCCTATTGCAGGGTGCGTCGGAGGCTCCGATCTCCCGGCCGCTCCCCCGCTTGAGATCCCGCTGTCGAGCAACAGCGCGCCCGGGTCGGGGGAGCGTACGACGACCCGCAGGAGCCGTGGGCGCCCAGCGAGCCGCCGGGCTCCGTGTCGGACGTCCCAGACGCTCTCTGACGGTGCCCGTGCGCGCCGCCGCGCCGGACGCGCAGGCGCCCCCCCCAGCGGTGGAGTTGCGTGCGTGGGGGCTGGTGCGGATGTGCGTGGTGCGGCTGGGGGACGGCGGGGCGTGCGGGGCGATCACGGTGCAGGTGTCGCGGTCGATCGACTCGCTCACCGCGTTGTGCGGGTCGCAGCGCGCGGCGTGGGTGTGGGGGGTTCGCACGGGATTGGAGGGCGACGACGTCGCGACGTGGCGGTGGTCGTGCGGGTGGCGCTGAACCTGATCGAGCGGCGCGTTGACGGGGTGGTGGCGACGCTGCGGGAGTCCCACCGCACGTGGAAGGGCGCTGCGGAGGAGTTCGCAACCGACGTGCAGCGCTGGGAGCGGCTGCTGGTCGACAACGGCGAGGAGGTGCGGCGGGCGACATGCGCACCGTGGGCTGCTCGTTGCGCCGTGCGGTCTCTCACGACCCCCCGCCTCCACTCCCCCGCGTCGCTGCAGTGTGGGATGTTGCTTCGTTGGATGCTCGAGGAGGGATACCGCACGCCCGGCGTCCAGCAGGCGCTCACGACGTTTCTCGGCGACCAGCGGCTGAGGCGGCACGCGCGCGCGATCGAGGCCGCGGCGTGCAGGGTGCACCAGGACCTGGTGACGCGCGTGCGCCCGCTGGCGCAGGACTGCCTCCTCAGGGCACTGTGCGCGTGGCCCGGGCCTCGCGCGCGCAGGGCCTCGCGTGTTCGGCGCTCGGGATGGACAAGGGCTTCCTGGCCCAGGTGCGAGCGCTCCGTGCGGCGCCCGCGCGCGCGAACACGGACGTCGGATTCCCGGCGATTGACCTCCCGTGCGTGCACGCGATCATCGAGCGCATCCACGACATGGGCACACTGTGCGCGGAGGACGGCGCGCGGCAGCCTGCGGGCGGGGCGCGGGGCGCCAGCGTGCGGCTCGCCGAGGGTCTGTCGCTGGAGGAAGCGCTGCTCAGGGCGGCGGGGCGCGGCACGCGGGGCGGGGGCACGGTCGCGAGGCACGCGCACACGCTGGTGGACGCGCTGCAAACGGCGGAGGGGTGCCTGACGGTGATCGCCCGGGCCACGTCGCACGCTCGGGCGATCGATCTGTTCGCACGACCGCTGCGTCGCGTGCGGCGCCCGTTGCGTTTTGAGTGCGACGGTGCGCGCACACGGCTCGTGCCCTCGCAGGGGATGTTCGAGGCGCGCATGGCCAGGGTCGTCGCGGAGCACAACGTCGCCATCGCGGCAAAGTCCGCGCTGCGATCCCCCGTGTTCCGCCTGCACGTCTCGCGGCACCCCAAGCACGATGCAAGCACGGCGACGCAGGTGCTAGTCTCGTTCGACGACAGGGACCGGGAAGTCCCGATCGCCCGCGGCGGCGACCATCTTACCGCAGACCTGCGGGCGGCGGCGGTCGCATGGAAGGGTGGCGCTGCGGCGGGCGCGGAGATTTACAAGGAGGGCGCGGTGTGCCTCGCGACCGTCGACGGGAGGAGACCGGGGCGCGCTGCAGGTGCTCGCGGTGCCGGACGCGTGTTTCACCGAGCATGATCACCCGGGGGCGTCGTTGGAGGAGAGCTGCAGGTCGCAGGGAGCCCTCCAGCTGGAGGACATCGCATCGCGAGGTGCGCCGGCACGCGCCGCGGTGACGCTCTGCGCGCTTACGCAACCGGTTTGAGCCCTCGTGCGGGCACCGCGCGTGCTGCCAGTGCACGACGTGGCCCCGACAGCCTACGGGGGACCGACCTGCGCCACCATGCGGAGTGTCGCACGGTTCTGACAATCTCCTTTCGCCGTGCCTCCGGAGCGCAGGTTCTGCGGGCCATCCTGCGCCGCAGCACGAGTCGCTGCTGCCGTCGTCATCGTCCTCGCCCGCCGTGGGCGGAAACGAGCGACAGTCGCCGATGAGGTAAGACTCATTCGACATTCATGCATTGCGTCTGTGCCTGTCGCCTGCTCTCGCCACGTAGCGGTCGTTGTTGCGCGCAGCATGCCAGCCGACCGCCACCGTGCTCATTTCTGTCCGCTGCGCGCTGTCTGGCGCTAGGATCCTCGCTCGATACTAAGAACTCCGTTCGTGGGCTGATCCCGGGTTGAGCTCACGAACGGAGTTCTTAGCATATTGAGCGAGGATCCTAGCGCCAGACAGCGCGCAGCGGACAGAAATGAGCACGGTGGCGGTCGGCTGGCATGCTGCGCGCAACTAGCGCCAGACAGCGCGCGAGGGCTTCGTGCAACCGGGCATCACAGCCGTGCACCTCACCAACATGTTCGTGATCCCAGCGGCCACCTGGGCGGGCGAGCTCTGGGCGGTGCACTTCCGCGACTTCGACTGGCCGCACTACGAGACCGTGATGCGCAACAGCAAGCTCAAGTTCGACCAGGCGGCGGGCGACCACCCCGGCCCCGACGGCCAGCTCGCCCAACACCTCCGCTACGTCCTGCGCC